AAAGGTTTGTTTAAGACAACCTACAGCCTTTTCTCTCTCATCAGTTCACCCATGATGGACCCTTGAAATAACTAGATTTTGTCACTGATTCAGCGAAGAATGGGTGGAGTTTGCTATAAGCCCAACTTTGATCTCTGCAACGCAACAGGGCTCAATGATAACCTAAATATCAATGTAGGGCAAGGAACCTCCTTAGGTTCAGCCATGCCAGTAACCTCCATGTGCAGACCTTATAAAATTGTGAAAGTGGAAGACTGGAACATGCAAGGTACAGCAAGGACAGCTGGTATTTTTGTATTCTCCAAAGTATCATTTTAAAGCCATTAACACTGACATCTAAATGTCCTGTAGAACCTAACCTCTTCACAAGGCGGGGAATATGAGGATGTAACATCCCAAGCATTAGACACACAGAAAAGGCAATGTTAATGTGCACCATCTCCCTCACACAACTTTTAATAACCACACTATTTTCCTCCTTAGTGAATCTATGAATGTTTTACTACGCCTTGATTCGCAATGTAACAATGCTGGAGGTCAGAGTGCTTTGCTTTACAAACTTAATAAATTAGCATTCTGTTGCTCTCGCAGTGTTCAAAGATGCGGGCAGTCTGGCACCACACCTGCAGCCCAACCAGTTGAGTTAATGTGGGCAAGGAACACTTCAGGGATTTTGAAGAAAATCACAGAGGGAAGAAGTCCTTGGTCATATCCTCCGCAGAGATGTTTAACAGGCAGAATGGTGGCTGTTGACACACACTGGAGCCCAAAATGAGCCTCCGTTATCTTCAGAGCTGATAAAAAGTGCAGAGTGTCTTAATATTTTTCCTTTAGCACTCGCAGCTTGCATAAGATTGGAGTGAGATCTTCCATTATGATAACTGCATAGTAACGTATCATCATTCAGGACATCTCTACTTCATCAGTATCAATCACTTTGCATTTTTTTTTTACACAGTAAGTTGTAGCCCGGACACATCTCAAAGGATCCATGAGAGCAGCTACTGTATTTCGTTACTTGAAAAATCAGTTTATGTTCTCCTAAAGGTTTGGTCAGTTCCCACTACGATGTGGGGCATCAGTTGCCCATTGGGGATTAATTAAAAGCCACTGTTCATCTAGGAATACCAATACCCAGAAAATGAAAGCCAAGCTGGAAGGTGAGAAGGACTTGTCTTACACAGTAACTCAACCAGAAGGGGTAGATGTTAGCATCAGGAATGTTTCATGGCTACAAGGAGAAAGTGGATGTGTGGGCTGCCTCTTCCACATTTGTTTAAAATGTACTTTCTGATCAATATATTCATTTTTGGAAAAGACTTGAACTTGTGATGGTTGTAGATGATAATAATTAATAAAGAACTGGCACACTACACCCCACAATGAACTGTGGGTCACTCCCAAATCATATGCCTAAATACTTAGGAGCGAGTCCTCTGTGAGAAGCCAAATAGCCTGATCCATCCCAATGCCATCCAGTTCTGCCCACGAAATATATGTGTCCAGCAAAAAAGCAAACAAAGCTCAGCACCCCAAATACTCTTCTGGCTCACCTCAAATCACATGCCAGAACACCTAGGAAAGGTTTTCTGTAAGATGTGCCGGAATCTGGTCTGATACAAAATTGCTTCCACACTTGGGGCACTGTCCATATAGTACTGTATAGCCAGCTTCCTGGTGCACAAGGAAACACATTTGTACACCCAGAGGAATATTTTATACATGCCGGCAACTTATCTACACTATCGTATGTACGGTATTTCTTCATGTGGATGCTACTGTGTGATATGGACAATATTTGAAACATTGTTTCATTTATTTGGTATGGATACAGCACAGAATTGTCAGATGAAATATTGTAAATACACTGCTGGATATAAAATGTTTGTACAGTATTTTATTTTAGGCTTTCAAAAGATTGCATACTCATCAAGTAACAGTATTCATGTTGTGGCTGTTGTTGTTGTTGCTGCTGCTGTTCTGTGCCCTCGAGTCAGAACTGACTTATAGCGACCCTAATAGGGCTTTCAAGGTGAGGTATTTAAAGGAGTGGTTTTACCAGTTCCACACACATGCTGTGAGTTTCCATGGCTGAGGGGAGATTTGAACTCAGGCCTCCTGAGTCCTGAGAGAAGATTCCCTGGAAAAGACCCAGATGTTGGGAAAGTGTGAAGGCAAGAGGAGAAGGGGACGACAGAGGACGAGATGGCTGGACAGTGTCATCGAAGCGACCAACATGAATTTGACCCAACTCCGGGAGGCAGTGAAGACAGGAGGGCCTGGTGTGCTCTGGTCATGGGGTCACGAAGAGTCGGACATGACTTAATGACTAAGCAACAACTCTTGAGTCCTAGGATGTCACTCTATCCACTACACCAAACTGAACATCTAACAATGTTTATACATACATTTCTTTCTTTCACGTGTCTTCTCTCACATTTCCAGGGACTGCATATAAAACTCTCCATGGCTTCAATGGTTTCCTTTTTTAATGTTCTCGAAATAAATGGGTCTTCCTTAATTCTCACATTGTTTCAATATCAGTTCATTAAGAAGTTAATGTTGCACATCTTGTATCAATTATACAGCAAAAAAAGAGTCAGAAATGTATTGGTGATTTATGTGCACATATGTGAAATACCATAACTCTGGGCAATGCATGGATGTTTTGCTGAGTTTTTTTCTGGGGTTTCTTTTTGTCTCCTCACCACATGGCCTGGGGGTGGGGCCTAGGGGGTGGGACTTCCTGCTTTAAAAGAGCGGGTCCCAGGACTCTGGACCCTTTTCCCTAGAAATTCTCAAATTCTATCTCTGGCTTTAATATGGCAAATAGGAAATCCAATTAGATTTCCTGGGAGGCAGGAAAGTTTTAAGGATCAGATCATACTTCCACACTATTACAGAGCAGGCCTGGTAGGTGGGGCTTGTCAGCCTTGGAAGGCAGCCCACCTAGGAGAAGGAAAACTCCAATTTCAAACCTCCACTGCCTTGTGGCTATATCCACTCGTGGAAAAGGCTTCAGGAGTTAACCTCGAGGCAAAATCCGGAGCTGAAGTCCTGAAGGCAGCTCGTGTCGTTCTGCCAACTCCTGCGACATTGCTGGAACCAATTGTATTGGCTCTTGCCTTTCCATTGGACCATTTCAGCAATGTGGAGAGGGGGGATCTGCTCCATACTACCTTACCCGGGCTTCATGCTCTGGAGAGGACACTCCTCAATTCAGAGCATGTCACCATAGTCTCTCGAGACTGAAGGATGCCTATGGATGGGCAATGAACACCTGCTAATTAATAAGGTGCTGGTTGCATTACAGGTTGCATGCCTGTTGTATGGCAGGCATGCTACTAAGAATGGGATTGGCATCTAATTCATTCATGGCAATCCATCATCACAATTTGTCTTAAATACACATAAATTGCCAAAAGCATTTTGACCATTATACTTAGGTAAAGGTAAAGGTTCCCCTTGACATTTAGTCCAGTTGTGTCTGACTCTAGGGGGAGGTGCTCATCCCCGTTTCCAAGCCATAGAGCCAGCGTTTGTCCGAAGACAGTTTCCGTGGTCATGTGGCCAGCACGACTAGACACGGAACGCTGTTACCTTCCCACCGTGGTGGTACCTATTTATCTACTTGCATTTTTTACATGCTTTTGAACTGCTAGGAACTGCAGGAGCTGGGACAAGTGACGGGAGCTAACTCTGTCATGTGGATTCGACCTTACATCTGCTGGTCTTCCGACCTTGCAGCACAGAGGCTTCTGTGGTTATATATAACATCCAATAGACATAACTCAACATTGCATCTATGAATGGTAGCTATTCTTGCTCAAAACTGCATTGATTTTCTCTAATTTTAAGTGAAACTTTATCCATGATAAAATACAAATGCAAGAATAGGTGCTACCTTTACAGACTATATCGTCATACAATACGCAAGCTTTTGTGGCTTGAACCCCACTTAATTGGGCTTGTACAACTATGGTGTTTGCTACATGAAAGCTCACATATTATATGATGATTCTTCTAGCGGTGTGTAAAGGAATTGCCTATTCTTGCATTTCTATTTTATTTTGCATTGATCACATCACTCCCCTTTGCCCATGAGAAACTGTCTAGTTTACTGCTTTTTCAATGTTCCATATACCATCGATACTTTGACACACACACAGCCCAAAAAACCCAACCCATCCCTCAGGTTCCTGCAAATCTTGAGCACTATCTGCACACACTATTTTGCAGGCTGCATCATATACAGCCTGAAGGTGACTGGTGTGGTTTCGTTTTCTATATGCAGGCTCTGCAGCATCTCCTAGACTAGAGGGATCCCCTCTTTGGCCTTTTGTGTACATGATGTGGGGTGCAAAGCTTCATTCCGTTGTTCTGTGGGCCTATTTGGTGTATTACTGTCAGGTGGGCACACTTTGCAGTGTGGTAACGGAGCATCTTTTCCTGGGTATTCGGGATTTGGGAATTACCCACAGCTTTCGGGAGAGCGCAGCGTGCCAGTTCTTTAAAATAGTAACTAATTTGAATGGCGAATAAGAGGTTTAAAAATTCTAGGAAGCGTTTCCTGATCAGAGTGATGCGCAATATCACAAGCATCATTTTGGAGTGTGGGGCGTCCTGTTTCTGCTGAATGAATGAGCTTTCGGACCTTTGCCAAATCAAGAACGACGAATGAAGGAACAATTTCAGCCTTGTGTCTTACAAGGGTAGAAATTCCCACCTTACTCAACTCCGGCTCCCCACCTGTCCCAGTTCCCCTCCCCCCGCCCTGCTCCTTTTCCGGGGCCCTCCCCGCTCCGGACAGCCCCTTTTCAAGTACTACTGTACTGACAAAAAGCTGCCACCCCCGTCAACCAATCAAAAAGCGCCCGGGTACGGAGCGGCCGAAATTATTTGAATGCGTCAGAGGTGGTCGCGTCCACCAATCATTGTCGTTTTGCCGCCTAAAGCCACACCTCGAGAGGCGTGGCTTAGCGCGACTTGCTAGGTGTCATGTGAGTGGCTGCTCACATGACCGCAGCAGTGGAAGCTGCGCGGCAGGTTGAAGCGATGGGGTTCCGCTCGGTGTTGAGTGTCTTGTTGGGGGCAGCGATGGTGTGGGGAGCCGGGGCCACGTGCGGTTATCAGGTGAGGAGCTCTCGGAGACGGGTTAAAGTGAGGGCGTCGAGGTGGGCTGGAGCGTGCAACCAGAGTGTGGGGGTTTCCTCGCTGGAGCATTGCTCGGGGTTGACGGATAGCCGTAGTCGACCCCGGTGTCTGTAGGGCGCAGCACGGAGGATCCATTTCATTTAAATGGAAAGGGGGAAGGCAGGTAAGGGGTGGAGGGTGTCCGCTAGACTGCTGGCAGGGAAAAGATAATGAGTGGATCGGGAAGGTTCCCGAGGCATCTTGAACGAAGGCACAGCTTTCCGGATTAATTTAAAGAGGAGGGGTCCTGCTTTAGGTATGGGTGAGCAAAACTACCCTATAGTTGCGAGGGGACGTCGCACAAATAGCCACGAAGGTTACTGACTGAGAAGAGGAAGTATTCTGGCTGCTGCATAGAGATGTGGATTGAAAGGGGAAGTGGGCAGGTTGTGACATGAGTCGTACATATAGCGTTGTAATCCTTAATGTTAAAGTTTCTGGAATCCCTACTGCAACATAATTCTGCGATCACAAAAATTCACTCACATAATTAGAGCAATTTTTCACAAAAGGGCTGTCAGGTTAGCTTGGCTGATGTCTGAACCCTGCCTGAGTCCTACAAAATTTCATAGCTCTCCAGGGAAAAATCAGAAGCCTGTGTTTGTCACAGCTGGCATTTATACTAATCAAGGCTTAACTCTAGAATGAAACTAAACAATATTTGATAATCATATAATAATCCATCTGAGTATCAAAATATGTCTTCTCATTGTTGCAAGAAGGCCAGGCAACAGCAGCTTATCTAAATCTACAAACTTTATCTACATTGCTTCTATGTTCCATATACACAAAATACTTAAGAATTGTTGTAAAATACAAAAGTAGACTTAGAGTTATGAAGGAAAACTGTAAGCAACAAATGCTTTTTAAAAATCCTTCCTTGTAACTTGTAAAAGAATGCAAGTGTTAAAACTTGTTATAGGCAGAACTTAAGTCATGTTTGAATATAAAATACAGAAGCCTGTTTTTAAGAGTAAAAATGTAATTTTAAAATGTAAATGCTTATAGCCTATAAAAGCAGAGAATATATCTCTAGAACACATAAGTGAAAGATAAAGGCATTGTACCTTTGAGTACTCTTTAGCAGTACTTTAAAAAGCATATTAAAAATACAAAAAATGATCTTAACCTAGGATGGCATGCTTTTATATGGTATCAAAAATCTCAAGAGTATAAAGTCTTCAATAGCTATATGATAAGAAAGTCTTTGTTATGGACTTGGAATAAGATACAAAAACAAATATATAATAAAATTCCAGGCTGGGTGTCACCATTAGAAGCATTTACACAGTCTACTTTAATAGGCTCAATTAGACTGGTGAGGTACAGAGACTTGCTTAAGAAAGACTAGAGAGGAGTTAGAGGAACAGGAAAAAAAATTAGATTGGCGGATGACATTGCAGTTAGATTCTAGGTTTGCAAAAGATAAAATAATGGGTTTTTATGAAGAACAAATGACATTTGATAAACTACTGTTAGAGGCAAATGATAACATAATTAAAAGAATGTATGAATATCTCTTAAATATGAAAATGGAAGATGAAGTGGTGAAAGTGTATGATAAAATGGGCACAAAATGTTGACTTAGAACAGTAGGCACAAATTTGGCAGAATAATATTAAACTTACAAAATCAGTAAATTTCAAAGAAAATATAACATGTTTTATAGATGGCATATGACTCCAACTAATTGTCTAAAATGTACAAAAATACCTCCAACAAATGTTGGAAATGTAAAATGCAGGAGGGTACTTTTTACCATATCTGGTGGACATGTAAGGAAGTGAGAAATTATTGGAGATCAATACATCAAATGTTACAAAAAAAAATCTTATCTTATGTGATACCATTTAAACCGGCATTGTTTCTATTGAATATTATGACTGAAATTGTAGATAAAGAAATGAGATATTTGATAATACATGAATTTACATCAGCGAGGATATTATATGGAAAATTTTGGAAGAAAAAAGAGATACTGTCTCTGAGGAACTGATAGAAAAGATACTGGAAGGAGATGGATGTACTCACAGAAGCATTAAATGAAAGATCATCTAAAAAAACTTTAAAAATGGGAATGGTTTTATAACTGGATCTGACATATGGATTAGAAAGCATAGATAAAAGAAGTATGAGAAGGTCCAAAGGAATTTAGAGAGTAGTAGCGATAGATATTCTGGAAAAATGTTATATTGTTTACTTTTGTGAGTTCCCTTTTTAGCATAACTAAATAAATGGATATAAGAATACTCTTTTACTCTCTGGAATTTTTCCCATCCCTTCCTCATTCCCCTGTATGCACACTCCAAGCCCTGGATATAAGAATACTCTTTCACTCTCTGGAATTTTTCCCCTTCCATCCCTTTCTCATTCCCCTGTATGCACACTCCAAGCCCTACTCCTATTGAAAATGAATTAAAACTTAGGAAAAAAATACTTTTGCATTTGTGTAGTTCTGAATGCTCACCCTTCTGCCAGTTAAAATCAATGGAGGAAAGTCCCTGACTTTTTTGTCCTTTCTCTGCTTCTTCATTATCTTTTTCTCCCCTCTAATGATGCTCACCTGGCATTATTTTCACTCCTTTATTTGACTATCAGTTCTCAATTATATTTATGCTTTATCTGTCCTTGGCCAACCATAAATAATTTCATTTTGCTCATCTAGGTTTTATGATGGTAGAACACTACTGGACATGTTACTGTGATATCACTGAAGGTCAGGATGGGAGTGCATTAGAGGCTTATAGATGTTGCATCTACTGAAATTCTTGGGTTAGAAATAAGAAGGGTTTATGTTTTGGTCATTCTTGTTACCTTAGGAGGCTTCTGCCTGATGTTTTTGCTAGGTTGGTACTAACGTGGTGATCATGAAACATATTTCATGGATTTACATTTTCCAAAAGATGGCACTGAAAGGTCACAAGCACAATATGATTGTGGTAGTCATCCACTAGCATCCAGTATGTGGAGGTGTACTGCTTCTGAACATAGTTCCAGTGACATAATTCCTATCATCTTCCAACATCATGGGTAGAGTCAGGAATTATGGGCATTGTAGTTCAAAACACCTAACATTCCAATGCCGTAGCAAAACTCTTTGGAAGCCATGAATTCTGCCCCACCCTGTTTCGTATCAGTGAATTCCACGAGTGGTGTGACTACTTCCTTCTGTTTTCGACTATTTGCATGCAATAGGCCAATCTGTTCCTCATTGTTTCTCTTAACAATGCAGAATTTCCCAGAAGGACGATCCCTGTTGCGTACTTACAGCATAGTTACATTTGCTGGAAGAGCTGGGAGTGTGGGTGTACTGGAAGGCTAAAGTAACATATGGGGGGGGGGGAAACTAAGTCGGTGGTGGTTATCAGCCTGAGCTGGGAGTGTGGGTGTACTGGAAGGCTAAAGTAACATATGGGGGATGGAAACTAAGTCGGTGGTGGTTATCAGCCTTGATGACTTATTTTGCAACTGTGTCCTTCATCTCTAATCTGCTGCTTAGCTTTCCTGTCTGCTCATGTTCTGTGCTTGGAATCCCTCAACCTGGAGATCTGATAAATTCCACTCCCGTGACATTTCCATCCTGTCTCTGTTCTAAGAAGTCGCTTCACTGAAGGTCAGCTGCCTAGTTTATTGCATTTCTGTCTGATTCCAGCCTGTGTATCTCTAGTTGTCTGCTCTTTTGTGCTCACATCCATTTGAGTTTTCTGGGCCTCTAATGCACTCCCGTCCTGACCTTCAGTGATGACCTTCTTGTGGATCCAAGCCAATATATGTGAGAAGAAACATAGCTTTAAGGTCCAAGTACTCGCACAAGGCACTGTGTTTTGTACAGGAAATAGTTGGATCCAGGCAACCTAGAGAACTCATTGCTGTGGTTTTTCTAGAGCAGTAGCAAAACTACTAGCAACTTTAACAAAGCCTATTAGTGGCCAAAATCCTATAACTTATGTATCCCGGTGTAAGTCAGAACACAACATGTCATGGCAACAAATTGCAGCCACTTAACAAGTCAACACTTTTATTTGTTTTTGCGTGAGCAATGCAAGTATTGACCCCTTCGTTAGTGACACAGTGATTTATGTCATTTGATTTATTTCAGTGCACACAGGCAGTAGGATTCTGGCTACTTTTTCTTTTGGTGAAAAAGTGCAACTAAGGTATTCAAGTGCCCATCTGCCAGCCCTCGCTTCTGGCTTCCACGCTTGCTACATTGTGAACTTGGGCCTCTGGCTCAAGCCATATCTCTTGCATTAAAGAATTTCTCCCATCATAGGAAAATGAGAAGGAATACTTCCCAGGGGAATCAGAAGACAAATGGAAACAGAATGTGGAGCACTAGAGGCTACGTTGTGATGTAGGGGGTTGAGATGGGTGAGGGGGCAGCGAGGGTGTCCTCCCTCCATGAAAAGGGAGGGTGCTCCTAAAGCAGGCAGAGTGTAGCATTTGTTGCGGCATCTTTATTATTATTTTTTAAATTATTGTTATGCTTCTGAGCTGTGGGTGCACGGTTACCTGTGAGACTTAAAAGCAGTTCCGGCTTCAGTTGTTTTCTTTTCTCACTTGGCCCAAAGGCTTGTTCCCATTTGGAGTCCCCCTCTTGCTTTTGCTTCTGCAAAAAAAATCAGTGAAACCGCAATACCCTGACATGATATTTTCAGACTCTCACAGAAGCTGCCTCTGTCACATCTGTAATTGGGTTGCTGAACATCATTTCTCCATTTCTTTTTATATTAGCCCAGGGCATAATACCTGTGTTATTTGTAGCATACAGTTTATCCCACTGTGTTGTGTCTCCCCCGACCCCTTTATTAGTACAATAAGAGGAGAGAGAAGAGAACAAACTCTGGGCCGTCCCTTCCTACAGTGCTGAGAAGCATTTCAATCCTAAGGGTGTTTACTTGGGAACAGGCACCACAGTTCACTGGACCTCACTGGGCAAGTCACTGCCTAGATTTGGACTGTTGTGTGATCCTAGATTACAGATTTTGCAGATGTATGCCTAGACACAGTCCTTTTGGTTCAGCCAGTTAAACTGCAGTGGGGCGTGGTGGTGCTGTGGGCTAAACCGCAGAAGCCTGTGCTGCAGGGTCAGAAGATCCGGCAGTCGTAAGATCGAATCCACGCAACGGAATGAGCACCCGTCGCTTGTCCCAGGTCCCGCCAACCTAGCGGTTCGAAAGCATGCAGGTCCTTTTGGTTCGGCCAGTTAAACTGCAGTAAGCTTTGGCATCAGTCCTTACACCGAAAAGCAAAACATTAGACATTATGATCACAGTACAAGGTTGAGAATTTTAAGGTCTTGGATCTCATCTGCTCCTCCTTTTTCAGAACCTTGAAGACACTCTTTGTCTTTGTTGTCTTCAGACCAGCTTCCTAGGCTTTCATAAGGCATTAGAAGGCTGGGGGATGATGGAGACTGCAGTCCAACACCTTGAGAGAAAGCAATTTTAGGGAATGTTGCCTTGAGGTCTGCTCCAGAAGACCTTGTCCTTCAAAGGGTGGTGACCAGAGGAAAGGCGTTCCAATGAGTAAGGCCTTGGCTGGCCCCTGCTCTGTCTTTTTTTAGCTATAAGGAAGAAAGAGTTTTCGTTTCCTGTGTTTTCCATAGGTTATAAATCTGCTTCAGATTTTAGTGGATAACATCTGTGTTTTGTTCTGTGATTTTTACCATTGGTTTCTAATGTTTTTTTTTATCAGAAGGTTTTTAAAAATCTACTGACCGCCTTGGAAGCCATGCACTGAAAAGTGGCTCAGTAACACAAGATAGATCAGATCCTACACAGATGGTAGACCATTGGCAAATTTATGCTCTTCTGAAATCTCTTTTAATTGTACTTCTCTGCAAGCAGCAAGGGAAGGTGTGGAGCCTGGTTATTGTGAGCAAGGCATTTATGTCTCCGCAGAATGCCTAGCCTACCGTCAAGAGGAGGTACACAAGCTTTGCTTAGCAGTACCGTACATCACTAGCCTAGAAGCTGCTAGTAGCCTTTCTATCAACTACACTTTTCAATTAATTGAATTTAATTGTAAATATTTTATCCCACCTTTCTCCTTAAAAAGGACCCAAAGCAATTTTCATCATTTCAAGACAAGATGTTATTTAACATATACATGAACCTGCTGAGAGAAATTGTCCAGAGTTTTGGGGTTCAGTGTCACCAGCAATATCTGCCATTCAATAATGACATTCCGTGTCTAGTTACCTTCCCACTGAGGTGGTACCTATTTATCCACTCACATTTTTACATGCTTTTGAGCTGCTAGGTTGGCAGGAGCTGGGCATTCCATGTCTAGTCATGCTGGCCATGTGACCACGGAAACTGTCTATGGACAAACGCTGGCTCTATGGCTTAGAAACGGGGATGAGCACCGCCCCCTAGAGTCGAAGACGACTGGACAAATTGTCAACGGGAACCTTTACCTTGCCATTCAAATCCAAGGAAGCTGTTTCAGTTTTAGATCAGTGTCTGTTGACAGTAATAGAATGGATGAGAGCGAATCAACTGAACCTTAATCCAGAAAGAGAGAGGTGCTCCTGATCAGTCAAAAGGCAGATCAAGGAATGGGGATACAGCCTGTGCTGGGTAGAGTTACACTCTCCCTGAAAACTCAGGTGTGCACCTTGAGGGTGCTCCTGGGTTCATCTCTGAGTCCGGATGCCCAGGTTTCGATAGTAACCAGGAGTGCCTTTGCACAATTAAAACTAGCTGTCCCTGTTTCTGGAAAGATCTGAACTGGCCACAGTGGCTCATGCTCTAGTTACATCCCGGCTATGTTACCATAACGCACTCTGTATGGGACTGACTGACTGCCTATGGAAAGTGTCGGGAAACTTCAGAGGGTCCAAAACACTGCAACAGATGCTTGCTTGACAATGGGATCACACAACCCCCTTGTTACAGCAGCTCCATTGACTGCTGATCCTTTTCCATCCAATGGCCTGGATCCAAGCTATCTCAAAGACCATATCTCCCGTTAGGAGCTGGCTTGGGTGTTAAGATCATCAAAAGAGACCTTTCTCTTGGTCCTGCCACCTTCACCTGATGGGGACACAGGAGAGGGCCTTCTCTGTTACTGCTCCCAGACTCTGGAACTCCCTCCCACAGGAGGCCAGCCTGCCACCATCTTTGCTTCCCTTCCTCAAGCAGGTGAAGATGTGACTCTTCAGGCAAGCTTCCCGTGAGTGATTGACTGCCTCAGAGATTTTAAATGGATTGTTGTACCTAAGTGCTCTGAATGTGTTTCGGTGTTGCTTATGATTTTTAGTATAGTATTTGTTTGATCCCTTTTTTGTATTTGGTTACTTTGTTAGCTTTAGATACTCTTGTTTAATGATGTAAGCTGCCTTGGGTCCTTTTTAAGGAAAAAGGTGGTTGTCTGCTCTATTTTAAATGAATTAATAAATAAAACTAGAAGCTAAAACAGTAGACATACAAATATTACGAAGGATCAAACAAATACCACCATTTTTAAAAAAAATGGTAAGCAAAGGCAATACCAAAAACAGGTCCAAAGTGATAAGGCCCAACAGCCCCTTTAGAAGGAAGGATCTTTCTCCCTCCTGCAGTTCTACCGAGCCCTAGCAGTTTAGAGGGCTCCCGGTTCTTTTGGCAAATGTTTAGGGGGGGGAGGGAGGAGAGTGACTGGTTTACAACCTCTCTGCTTACCTCAGAGATGCTCTTGTTGTCTCTTTTCAGTCCTGCCCGGAGACAAAACCTGACATGCTTAATGTGCACCTTATCCCTCACACGCATGATGATGTGGGCTGGCTGAAGACAGTGGACCAATATTTCTTTGGAGGTGAGTGGAAAAAACTGGGAGGGAAGAGATGGCTTTTCTGCCACCAGTTAGACACAGCCTTTCTTTTCCATCTGGCTGGAGGGTTGGACTCGAGGTTATGAATGCTGACTGGCAGTGGCTTTGAGTGTGCTCAGCTTCAGGGTTTCTATAAGAAGGCTGGGTTTCCTAGCCTCTTGCCAGACCCCTTGCTTGTTCTTTATTTATTTGATTGATAGTCTGCCCTTCTGGCAACAGTGGAACTCAGCACAGCTGACAATAAGATCAGTGTAAAGAGTATTTTTTTAAAGTATTGAAACAATTATATAATTCAAAATGTTGAATTAAGAGCAATTTAAGTTACTTTATAAATTGCAAAAAAAAGGCCCACAAACCCTTGTTGTTATTTCCCACAGATGAGTAACCTTAGTGAATGCACCAAATGCATTTTTCTTCAAAGCGTATTAATCTTTGAAACAACAGACCCACAAACCCTTGTTGTTATTTCCCACAGACGAGTAACCTTAGTGAATGCACCAAATGCATTTTTCTTCAAAGCGTATTAATCTTTGAAACAACAGCTCTCTGCTATTTAGACTTTAGGTTTTTTTCCTCACAATGTTGCAGGTAGGTTTGAGAGGATGAGATGGTAGCTCACCTCAGAGCATCCAGTGACTTGACTGCCCATTGTGTCAGGGTGTGTCTCTCTCCCAATACCTCTGGCCTTCTCAAGTTTCTTTCCTCCGTCCAAAGCCCATAGAGTGTCCTCTGTGGTTTCTGGGCAGAATCTGCTGCTGGGATTCGCCCTAGGGTGCTTTCGCATTCCTCTGACGGTGTAGAGAAGAGCATCCTGTGTGGGCGGCCTCTGCCTGCTGCCTTGCAAGGCCACAAGCAGAGACCCTGGAAACACGAGCCTTTGTCCTGCCCCTTGTCCTTGGAGGCTTGCGATGAGCTGTCTTGCCCAGTGGCTTGGAAGGGGGGCTTGTGATGAGGCCCCTTGTTCTAACAGAGGCGGACCATGAGGGCTGTTGGGCTGATGGTGACAGCATCTGAAAATGAGACTCTAGTCTTGGCTCTTTTCTTTGGCTGTGGGGAAATATCTCCCATCCTGCCAGTATCTAGAGGTCTTCCAGTGCACCAGAGGCTCTGTGCGACTCCTCTTCTGGGCATCCCTCTTCTTTCCCATCCCCTGCTTATTGGTTTCTTCCATATCCCGCCTTTCCTTCCGTGAGCTTAAGGCAAGGTGGATGGCAACCCTTCTCCCCAATTTATCCTCCCAGTCACCCTGTGAGTTAAGAAAAAGCGACTGCCCCAAGGTCGCTCAGCAAGTTTCGTGGCAGGCAGGGGGGGGTGTCTCTCTCCCACGTCCCAGCCCCACCTTCTGATCCCTGCACCCCGGGCGGCTCTCTTGTTGCCTTGCAGTCCGCAATGACATCCAGCACGCTGGGGTACAGTACATCCTCGACTCGGTCATACCACAACTGCTGGCTGATCCTCGCAAGCGTTTCATCTACGTGGAAGTGGCCTTCTTTGCCCGCTGGTGGGGGCTGCAGACGGAAGACATGCGCCAGGCTGTGAGGCAGCTCGTTGCTCAAGGTAGGCAAGAGGGCATAGGGTAGCCTCTTCTTTGCCTATCTGCTGTTTCACCTAATAGACGGGGATACAGGGAGAGGTGGGGTAAGCCTGTTGCTGTTTTTACCTTGAAGGGAGGAGGTGCCTTCCTGCTGGGGAGGCTGAGAAGGAGCCAAAGGTGCAGAAGTTCCAGCTCAGACATCTTGCTGCTAGTGCAGAGATGTGGGGATCTTTGTAAAGCAGTTGTTTTGCACTTGAATGCTTCTCATTCCTTACAAGAAATACCGGTTCCAGCTCAGACATCTTGCTGCTAAGTGCAGAGATGTAGGGATCTTTGTCCTAGGAGGTTTTTTTGCACTTGAATGCTTCTCATTCCTTACCTTTGACCATTGGTAAGTGTGCTGGGGAGAGCTAAAGTCCAAAAGAGTTGGAGAGCCAAAGTTAATGGAGACCAAAGGGTTCATGGTTCACGACATAGTGCAAGGTTGCGGTCTTGGGTCGACCACCCCGGAAGGGAAGGCAGAGGTAGTGGTTCAGTCCTCTCACCTTACATTTAAAGGACGAGCCAAATTCTCGTCCCTCGCACAACATAGTGCAAGGTCAGGGTCTTGGGTCGACCACCCCGGAACGGAAGGCAGAGGCAGTGGTTCAGGCAACCTTCCACAGTTCTCTCACCTTGCGTTTAAAGGACGAGCCAAATTCTCGTCCCTCCCTCCACATTTCCAAGTGGCTCGATAGGTTCAGCAGGAAGAAGGCCTTCCTGGCTCTCCTGTTCCTGTCACGCCGTCCCCTGTGCTGCCTTGTCGCCTTGTCTTGCCCTATGACCTCAGTGGGAAACATGCGGCCCTCTGGGGACGGTTGGACTGACTCTGCCCATCCTGGCCATTTTGCTCCATTGGCAGAGCCTGGTGGGAGGTGGGCGTCCAACAGGACCTGGGAGTGCTCTGGTTCCCCAGGCCCCGATGCACAGGAGCCCTCCTCCCTTCCTGCTTTGCCATAGAAGCTGTTGCTGGCCGAGGACCTCGTTGGCCCTTTCAGGCCCTCTTCGGTCGTGCTGGCTGTTGCTTCCCAGCATAGGTAGAGGCACAGGGGAAAGTGGCCTCAACCCTCCCCCCTCCCTTGATGTTTTATTTCTGGCTTTTCCTTTGGCAGGGCGTCTGGAGTTTGTGAATGGCGGCTGGTGCATGAACGATGAGGCAGCCGTGCACTACAGCGCCGTCATTGACCAGATGAGCCTCGGGCTCCATTTCCTGCAGGAGACCTTTGGCGAGTGTGGCCGTCCTCGCGTGGCCTGGCACATTGACCCTTTTGGCCACAGTCGTGAGCAGGCCTCGCTCTTTGCGCAGGTCAGCCTGGGATTCCCAGACGTGCCCCTTCCCTTCCCAGCTCAGTTCTTGGGCACCTGTGTGTTTTCCCCATCCCCACACAGCCATGGATGACTAGCTACCCCCCGTTACCAGGCAGCTGCTTGTTTGCCTTCATGAGCCTAAGTCCCGTTGCTAGACCTAACCCGAACAAACTTATTGAAACAATGAAACTTAACAAAAACGTTGGCTTGCCAAGTACCATCTGATCCAGTGGCTGTACACGAATTGGGACTAATGGTTGGATTTAGGCCGTGGACGTGGCCTTCCATCTTGGTTGGTGCTCCTTCCTCTCATTATTCTCTCCAGATGGGCTATGATGGCTTTTTTCTTGGCCGCATCGATTACCAGGACAAGGCCCACCGAGAGGCCTTGCGTGAGATGGAGCAACTATGGCGCGCCAGTGAAAGCCTGGCTCCTCCTGTCGCTGATCTCTTCACTGGTAAGCAAGTGAGACTTGCCAGAATCGGACCCTTGCTTTGGATTTCTGCATTAATTTTATCTTTCCACACTTAGATATTCCCAGTTCTGGCTGTAAAGGTGTCCAGAGTATTTCCTGGATTTACCGCAGGGTCAGATTCCAAGTTGGTGGTGGAGGTGGGGAGGTGGGGTTAGACTTTGTCCCCCTGCTCTGTTCCAGTGCTAAGCTGAGCAGGGGGTCTGGTTTGGATGGATTGCAAGTACAGGCAGTTGTCTAGGTTGGCTTCCATTAGTAGAACAAAGCATCTTTTGGGCATGAGGCCAACACATAAGCAGAGCGTGATGGGGAGTGTATAAGAATATACAGCAGTGCATAACATTTCTGTGCCAGTGCTTGGCAATGGTTACTGTAATTACCAATAACAGCATTTTCCTATATACTGAGTAACATTTATTTCTTATCAGGAAAGGGTTTTAGAGTGTGGGATCTAAGATTATTTTTCTGCTTTTAAGGACATTTCTGAATGAAAAACGATGGTAATAAAAAAGCACTCTTGATGTGACACCCTCAGAAGTATTAGTTCCGATTTTAAAAGCTGCCTCTGTTTGCCCAGCCCTGTGTTGCTACACTCTGGTACTTTCCTGCAGCATGGATGGGCCACCTGTGGCTCTTTGGATGTTCAGCTCCCTCCGGGGCTCCCACCAGCCCCCAGCCAGCAATAGGCAGGAATAAGCAGCCATTTCCAAAGCTGCTGCCCCCCCCCCCACAGCAAGCAACCTTTGGAGATCTTTAAAGGGGCTGCCCCTGCCAGGGAGTGGCTCCTGTTTTGCAGTGGCAAGGCTTCCCTCAACAGCCCACATCCAAGCCCTTCTCGCAGTCCCGTTCCTTCTTGGTCTGCTGTGAGGAGGGCTTCCTCCCCTTCCTTCAAGGGCTGGTACGATGTTGAGGATGTCTTGGCTTCTTTTCCTGCTTACCCTCTTCTGGGAGTAATTTTGGTCTCTGTCTTCAGTCTCTGAGACAGGAGGGCTCCTGAGAGCGCTCTTGCCCCTTCCTGTTTCTCTCGGCTCTTTCCTGGCAGGTGTCTTACCAAACGGTTACAACCCTCCGATGGCCCTTTGCTGGGATCAGATCTGTTCTGACAACCCCATTGTGGATGATGACAGTGATGAGAACAACGTGGAGAGTCTGGTGGCCTATTTTCTGGGGACGGCAGCCGCTCAGGTTTGAGAAACGGGAGTTGGGGGAACACGACTCCCGACAGCTGGAAGGCCCACACCTTCTGCTCCCCTGTTTTACAAATCTGTTTTGAGGGTGCCAGATAGATGATGCCCATGGAGGGAAGCCCTCTGAACAGTGGATGTTCAGGGTGATATTTGTGGATCAGGGGTACCTCCTCTGCGCAGCAGGCAGAGTGATGCCTTGCTTCTGTCTTTTAGGCCAAACACTATCGCACTAACCACATTGTCATGACCATGGGATCTGACTTCCAGTATGAGAATGCTCTCCTGTGGTACAAGAACTTGGACAAGCTGATCAAGCACGTCAATGCAAAGGTATGCCAGGATGATACGAACCTCATTTTAATGGCGGCATGTGTCTCATCAGGTAGTCGGGGTGGTGGTCCAGAAAAACACCATCCCTGTGGACTGAATCCGGCTGTTAGTCCCAATTAGAGGAGATCCATTACTACAGTGGGGTTTACATATATGTTGACATAACACACCACATTGATTTAGTAGGTCTAGCTTGATGTGTTCTCATGTTGCCTCTTTCGCCTGCCCTTAAACCCAGAGCCTTGTGTGCAGATGCAGTCAGATTCCCCTCCTTTTCATCAGGTCTGCCTGAAGCGGAGGAAGAGCCACGCTTCTGCTTGTCTCCCCCGCCCTTGACCTCAGGGCCCTGGAATGGAGGGGGAAATGAAGACTGACCTCCGTTCTTTTTATGGAGAAAGAGGAAGAGAGGCTCTCTTTCCAGCCTGCTACAACTTTAAATTAATATACTTTGCAAAAAAAAGGGGGGGGGATTCTTACTGTATCAGGAAAGTAAAGAAGAGGACCCAGGATAGTATGAGTAGGGGACAGAAGGAGATTTGTTTGCCAACAGAGTATTCCTGGCACTGGTTCAGCCTGCTACAACTTTAAATTGATATACTTTCCAAAAAAGGGGATTCTTACTGTATCAGGAAAGTAAAGGAGAGGAGCCAGGATAGCATGAGTAGGGGACAGAAGGAGATTTGTTTGCCAACAGAGTATTCCTGGCACTGGTTCCCTCATTGCCGCATGGTTGAAGCTTGGTCAGCGTGTCACCCTGCAACCATTTTATTCTTCAGAGCGTGTTTGCTTGTTGATTTCCTTGTTTCTCTCTTGTAGCAATTAAATGGGAGCCGTGTCCATGTTCTTTACTCTACCCCAAGCTGCTACCTGTGGGAGCTGAACAAGGCCAATCTGTCCTGGTGAGGAGACGCTCTTTAAAGGCAACAAGAGCTGACACTAGAAGTGGCTCTTGCGGCATTTCCCCCTCCTGTCCTCCCACCCCCATGAAAATGCTCTTCTCTGGTTTCTGAAGATTGGTTCTAGGCCCAAACCCCACCGATGCCTGTCTCATACCGGTGGACTTCCAGGCCTCCTCTGGTCCTTGGCCGGGTTCTTCTCCCTCTAACCCCCACGTGTGGCCTCCTTCCCCACAGAGTGGGGCAGCCCGAAGGATAGGTTGACCTTGATCTTCCCCAATAAAAACAAATGGGTCACTGTTTCTGCAGATGGGAATGGTTCATCGCACTTGATTTAATGGGTGTTACAATGATTCATCATAATTTTAAAAACTTAGAATTAACTGCCCTTAGCTACCCGAAGGATAGGTTGACCTTGATCTTCCCCAATAAAAGCACAAATGGGTCACTGTTTCTGCAGATGGTAATGGTTCATTGCACTTGATTTAATGGTGTTACAGTGATTCATCATAATTCTAAAAACTTAGAATTAACTGCCCTTAGCTAATTGGTATCTGTAGTTTGCCTAAGGATTAGTTCCATTTAAAATGGCTTTGCTGCTGTTCAAAAAATTACAATCAAGTGACCCAGGTCTATGCCTTTGTCCGATGGCTAGTTTCGCTCCCTCAAAGGGCTGGGCTGGAGAGAGCCTGCCGCTCTGATGCTGCAGGAGTTGGCTGTAGCTTTCACAGATAGCCCAGTCTTTAATGACTTAGTAAATAGTGGTGAGAATTAGTGTGATGTAGAGGAAGAGTGCTGGGCTAGGATAGAACTCTATGGATTTATTTTCTTTGTCCAACAGTCTTTTACACGAATCAGCTACTTCATCGTATGGGTAGAAAATAAAGATTGAGAGGCATAATCCATGGCCAGTTCCCGTTCTTAGGATCCCATGCCTCAGTGGCCACATATTTTCATTGCACGCCAACTAAGGAGAGAATTTGGGGGACGGGAGGGTGATGTGCCATGTACAGGTGTAGTTTGAACCTGACCTAACTCTCTTGCTGGACAGGTCCATGAAATATGATGACTTCTTCCCGTATGCTGATGGGCCTCACCAGTTCTGGACAGGATATTTCACCAGCCGACCAGCTTTGAAGCGTTATGAACGGCTCAGCAACAATTTTCTGCAGGTTAGTGGTTGTCTCGTCTCAGGTAGAAGACAGAGTTGAGTATTTTCTTTCTCCAAACTACAGAAGAAACCAAAATCCAGAAGTCCAAGGTGCTTATTTTGCATTTTTCTTTTATTTTGTTTGTTTTTGTTATTTCTCCCCCCCCCCTTTTTTTTTTTTAACCTTTTTAAAAAAATATATACCACCCGGCTCTTCCGCCTCAGGCCCTAACCAACAGAGATGCCTTTTGGAAACTTGGCTGCCTCTTCCCTTTTGCAGGTCTGCAATCAGCTGGAAATGTTAGCCGGTCTGCAAGCAAACATGGGGCCTTATGGCAATGCCAACAGTTCTGTGCTGCGTATGTATGAGGAAACATGAGGAATCCATGGGATGAGGGAATGGCCATGTGGGGGAGCTCATTACCACACGGGTGGTGGCCGTTGGGCAGTTTTGGACAGGGTCTGGCCATAATGTTAGGCACGGCCTTCAAAAGATGGAGAACAGAGCAAACAAGTAGAGAGCAGTAGGAAGACGTGGCTCTTTGGGGGTGTCCATGTGTGGGGTGCAGCAAGCCAAGGTGGGCCACAGCACACATGTGCTGGTGTAGACAAGGGTGCCAGACCCTGGGGTCCCCTCTATATTCCTTGTGACACCTGTCTTATTGTTCCAGGTCAGGCCATGGGAGTCGCTCAGCACCATGATGCCGTGAGTGGCACAGCAAAACAGCACGTGACCAATGACTACGCTAAACAGCTCTCTTCTGGTTGGGATGCCTGCCAGGTGTGTGCTTGAACCAGCCAAGTGACCACCAGGGGCCCTCGGTCACACACAGACACATGAGCAAAACCAAGGGCCATGGTCCTTGCTTCTCCTCGGTCTGCCAACCTCCTCCGAGAGAGCTGTCAAGGCTCTCTGTTCACTGATCCTCTAGCGGCACCTTGTTGTAAATGTGCATAGATCCTCTTCATTCTGAAGATAAGACGTAATAATGATGGTATCTGGGGAGGGCCGGGTGCTGATGACCAGCATTTGCTCCTCAGCAAGCCTCCACCTTAAGATGGCCATATTTCTCGACAGCAGCCTCTGTAGTGCACTTGGGTCAGTGGCCTCCTCTCTCACGCTGAGCTGGGGCTGGCTTTGCACATGACATGGCAAGAAGCACCAGGAGCTTGTTGACCTGCTCCTACTCTGTGGTGTAGCATCATGTGAAGCTGCTCTGACCTCCCGTGAGGGGGCATTGCGAAAGTTCCCTTAGTCGGGCTTTGGAACTGCTGATTCGCTTTGTGACAGGACTGGGTGCATCCCCTTATTACCCTTTTCCCTGACTTTTGCAGACTGTGGTCAGTAATGCCCTTGCCAGTATTATGGGAACCAAGGAGAACTTCATCTACTGCCCCTACCTCAACATCAGTGTCTGTCTCCTGACTGAAGCTGCCGAAACTGTAAGTGGTGAGGTTGAGCTATTGTCTAGTTTTTCATGTCGGGGGTGGGGGTGGGGTGGGCTGTGGTGCTGGAGAACATTTTCCCAGCAATCTCAGCACCCCAGGTTTCCCCTGCTTCGTCCGTCATCCCTACCCTCACTTGCTGCTTTGCGTTGCCTCTTGCAGTTCATGGTGATCGTCTACAACCCTCTGGCTCGCCCTGTGGACTGGAACATGCGGCTGCCGGTCAACGGAAGCCATTACTCTGTTGTGGATCCCAACGGCCAGGCTGTTCTGAATGAGGTAGAGAGCCGGCAACCTCTGTTCTTTGTACTGCAGCCTGCACAGTATGGTGCCTTCCAGATGTGGTTGGTTAGAACACCCATTGGCCCCAGTTGTCATGAGCAGTTGGCAGGAGCTGTGGCGGAACGGTGGGCGTTTCAGTCCCAAACATCTGGAAGATATCCTGTTGCAGAGGCCTGCACCAAAGCTTGAGGAGCATCAAAGCGACTGGCAAAATTGAAACAGGTGGCCCTAGCGGGGTGGTGGAAGGAGCAGTCCAACAATAAGAGATGCAGACGGCAAGAAGCGTGAAATGTTCGTGATAGATAAGAGCATGAATGTAAATCAGTTGTGTTGCAAACAACCAGAACAAAACTAATAAGAGGACGGGCAGGTGTCCTCAGAATTGAGAACGATAACTTCCCACATGCTCATCAGTGATCCTGTCTCCATGGTACTTCTTGCCCAAGACAATAGGACAGGATTTTTGCTTACGTGGCTTCTAACTATGGAAGAGATAGTGCTTGCGGACTGTTCTGTACGAATCAAAGCCCTGGAATATAGCCTTTTTTTTTCTTCCAAAGAAAATCAGAAACATGGAAAAGGTGCCTGGGTGGGGATGGGGATGGGCAGGCTTCCCCGCCGGCCCCTCTCTGCCTTTGGTCCCTGGTGGGCCAGACAGGCTGAAATGCCCACCAAAGTCATGGGGCAGAATAATATCCCTCTGAAGGGCAGTGCCGAGTGGAAGAGGAAATGGTGCCAGCTGTCCTCTGTTTGACAGGTGATCCCCGTGTCCAGTTTCACCCAGGCTGTCCGGCGCGATCGGGGCTATGCTGCCAATGAACTGGTCTTCCGTGCCTCTGCCCCTCCACTGGGCTACCGCACCTACTCTGTCTCCAGACGACCCGGCAAGAAGCCCGCCCTTGCCAGGGAGCTGAAACGGTTGCTCTATCGACCTGGAGCAGCACCTCTTTCTTGGACCATCCAGAACGAGGTATGGGGACTGATCTAGTCGTATCTCTTCTGGTCTTCTCCTGCTTGGTCTTCACAGCCAGTCTTATGGGCCTTCTGTGCAAGGGAGGTAGGAAGGAACAGCTCCTGGAAACAGGTGCTCTTTCAGTCCTCGGACAGCCTCCTGTCTCCCTGCAGCCTGAGGCAGAGATGGAGTTTGAGGTTGGCGATCTATTACTCCTAAGAGCCTTCAACATGGGAGGGCCTGACGGGAGTTGAGCACCCTCTGGAAGGCCACGGAGCCTCTGCCCTTGACAGAAGGGGGGGCGGGTCGTCCAGTTCTGCCTTTCTTTTAGTATCCTCACTTCCCTACGGTGCTGTCCACATGTTACAACATAGCCATATAGGACGTGTCCCTGTTAGCCCTTCATGCCCACATGCTCACCCGTGTTCTCTTTCTCCCTCTCCTGTCCATCACTGCAACGGCTTCTTATCATGCTTTCCACAAAAGCTTTTTCTCCTGCAAGGCTAATGGGATAGTGACAAAGGATCACGTCATGCAGGGAGGTGAGACGGACGCCTTCCTTTCTCTGCCTAATCACACCTCACCCCCAGTTAGGTCTCAGAGGGAGGCGTGTCACTCTGTGAAAAGAAACAGGAGGACAAAGTTGTTCTGTATTTTAAAATTACAGAACAACTGTAATCTGTAAGCAGACCTCTCTGGACTTAGGTTCTCTTCTTTCCTGACCCCACGTGGCACCTAAATTAAGCATCTTGGAAACTTCTGATGTTCCTGGTTGCCTTCATCCTCTTTTTCCAGCATCTGCGGGTTGTGTTTGATCCCAGCACAGGACTTCTGAAGACGATTGAGAATCTGGACAAGAACATCTCCTTGCCAGTGTCCCAGAACTTCTTCTGGTGAGTGGAGTAGAAGGTTGTTTTCTGCTTGGAAATCAAGGAGCATCAATATTAAGCCTTAAGGGAGAGGCGCCCAATACCTGGCTCCCTTGGCTGCAAATAGGATTTGCGTAGTCCTGGCCTCAAGGTAGTGCAAAGCAAAGCCCAGCCTTTTTATCCTTCTCTGCTGGGATGCAGAGTTGTTTGGTGACCTGGCAAAAGTGATTGTGGGGATATACCCTCACCAGTTGCGTCTGCTGGCCGGCTTCTGCAGGTACAATGCCAGCACTGGGAACCAAGAGAATAACCAGGCATCTGGTGCTTACATCTTCCGTCCAAATGGCTCTGAGCCCTTCCATGTCAGCCAACGAGCCCGCTTGTACCATGTGAAGGTAAGAAAATCTGGAGTTGCTGAGGACAGCTCAAATACAGATGCTCCAACCCCATCCAGGGAGACCGCTAGCCTTGCTGAAAAGCTGGCACCCTTGTCCTCCAAGGGGACCTAAAGAGCCCCCACAGGCTTCTGGGAAGGCCCTTGTTTTGTATCAGGGACATGGCCTTTACAGACAAAATGTGGTTGGCATCTTTTGTAGCCTTGCTAAGATCTTTGCATAATCTAAGTTGCAAGAGATTATTTTGTCAGATGGTAGAACTTGTTAAATATATACTTGAGTCGTGGGGGGCTGAAGAGGGGTTCAGTTGCGCATAATGATCCAAGGAGCACTGGGGGGGGCAGGTAGTGGATGGGAAGGATCCCAAGCTTTTGTAGCTCCCAGCTGGATTTTGTGGTAGGTAGGTATCGCTCTAAGTCCCAGGGCTCAGCTGACTCCAACCAGAAGCTTTTTGTGAAACAGCTCTACTAGCTTTGTGGTAAATTTTGTTCGACCATAATGGCATTCCTCAGAACACTGTGGTAAAAAAGATTATTCCCCCCCCCCGGTGTGCAAGTTAGCAATTATCAAGGGCAGAGTTGTCTACTAGTTAGGATTAGAATTCATCTAGTAATGCATTTCTAGCCCCTGAATTATCCGAAGGGTTCCCATGTGTGAGCAGTTATTTCTGAATTGTTACTGACGGATTATTGAATAATAGCACCTTAGCACTTTGCTTATTGCTGCTGCTGGCCAGTGTGTGCAGTTTGACCTGTTCACTTGCTCACTCGCTTGGGTGCCCATGCTTGTTGCTGAACTGGCTTTTGTGCCATTTCTCCAGGTAGGGGTGAATGAACACTGGTGCCAGACAAAGATAAAGTCTGCCCTTGTGTTTTTACTTGGCAGAACCAAGTGGTGCAGGAGGTCTACCAGAACTTCTCTGCCTGGTGCTCCCAGGTGGTGCGCCTCTATGCCGGAGAGCCTTATGTCGAGCTGGAATGGACAGTAGGACCCATCCCAATTCAGTGAGCCTTGGGAGGTGGTTTTTTGGGGGGGGGCTAGGGGGGAGGCATGGTGCAATCTTTGTGATAACGGTGAGGTTTTCCCTTCTGCCACAGAGATGGTCTTGGCAAGGAAGTCATTAGCCGCTTTGAGACAAACCTGCAGACTGACGGGCTTTTCTACACGGACTCCAATGGCCGCGAGATCCTCGAGAGGAGGTATGATGAGCAGCAGGAGCAGGGGCCTGGAGGGACACTTTCTGCCTTGGAACTGGCCCACTCTGGGTAAAACGGGAGCAAAGGGATGGAAAAGCAAAGACCCAGAATTCCCCAGACCCCTTCAGGACCTGCAGCAGTAGAGGGGAATAATACGGACTCGAGATTCAGTGTGATGGAGTGGATGGATGTCCACCTAGGACTTTGGATACCTGGCTCCAAATCCCTACTCAGTTATGGGAACTCACTGGGGGTGGGGAGTGGCAATAGTTAGCCCCTCCTTGAAAATCCCAAATTCCCCAAGAATCGTGTTAGGATCACCAGGAGTTGGAAGTGTCTTGGTGGCACATAACAACAATGTTGGGTTACTGTACCCAGCCCAAGAACGTAAGGTACGAACGCAGGTAGTAAGTATTAAACACTGGACAGTATTATTTTTTCTCTTTGGTGGATCATTTAATTTTTCTTGGGTCCCCTTTCTTGGGTCCCCTTATACCACCAAACCGCTGGTGGAACCTCGTTTTCCCAAATTGTAGCTGCCTAAGGAAAGACAGGAGGCCAATGCATTCCCTCTCACCTCTGTCTCTCTTTCTCTTTGGCCTTGGGGCAGGCGTGACTATAGGGCCACGTGGAACTTGAGCCAAACTGAGCCCGTGGCTGGCAACTACTACCCTGTGAACAGCCGCATCTACATCAAGGTAATGGTGGCCCCTTGTAATTGACGGGCCGGACTGCTCTCGAAGCACCCTTTTAGATAACCACCAAACCAGCTAGCCTAGTTGTGGGGGATGGGGAGGGACAGGCAGAGCTTTCTGTCCATTGTGGGTTTTGGCAAAGCCTGGAATGGGGGCTCCTGAGGGTGCTTGAAGTTGGAGGGGTTTGGATGCAAAGCGATGAGCCTGCAAACCTCCAGCCTCGCACCCCACTCCCGGCATTTTGCGAGGAGGCTGGTTGAGGTCCTTTCTGTGTATTACACTGTAGCCGTAATGACTTCCCTTCATTCTTTCCAGGACAAGAAAGTCCAGCTGACAGTACTGACAGATCGCTCCCAGGGAGGCAGCAGCATCCTTGATGGTTCTCTAGAACTCATGGTGAGGACAGTAGGACTTCTCTGTGTGACCAAAGAAAGATTTGCTTGCTTCAGCTCATCTCAGCATATCCGCCTCATACTTGCAAGGACTAGCCTCCTCTTCTAAAAAGTTTGACCCAGGAAGTAGGGACAGCGACCACGGGAATGGGGAACAGTTAGGTACTGGGGAGATGGTGTTGGGAAACCAGCAAGGCCAAGGTTTATACATTCTTCTTCCTCCTATGGGTCATTCTTTATTCTGTAACCTAAAGAAACCCATCAGTCTCTTGCACCCCCTGACACTCTTAAGGTCTGAACAAGGCAAGCTGACACACCTGTGCCCTTCTCCTTCTTCCTCTCCACACCCATCCCTCTTCAGGTACATCGGCGACTCCTGCATGATGACGCCCGGGGTGTCGGGGAGCCACTACTGGAACCTGGAGATTACCACCATGGACTGGTGGTACGAGGCCGCCACCTTATCCTCTTGGACACAGCAGAATCATCGGCTGACCAGCACCGGCTTCGAGCTCAGCAGGAGTTCATGGCGCCCCAGGTGGTCTTTGCCCCAGGTGGGGGACCTCCCTACCAGCCTGGCCAGGCCAACCTCAAGGAGGCCCTCAAGGAGGTGAGAGGAGGAGAAGGAAGGATGTCTGGCTGAAGCCCCTGTGGGGGAGGAATCCTGGTTCCACTGGTAGACGGTGGATGGGCTTTGGGTACAGAAGTTCCCAGGTTTAGCGCCTGCCTGGCACCTCAACTGGAAAGCAGGATGGCTGGGAAGGACCTCAGCCAGGAGCTCAGTGCAAGGTGGCTGCACCGTGTTCTATGCCTGTAGGAAACTCCTTGCTAGGTTCCTGAGTGGCTGCCTGCCCGAGCAGATGTTTTTTTCCCAATGGATTGTGGTACCTTACTGTTTTGAATGGGTTTTGGTGTTGCTGTTGTTTTTTGAAATGGTATTGTTTGATCTTTTTATGCATTTTTATTAGCATTAAATACTGTCTTTTAATGATATGAGCCACCTTGGGTCCTTTCTAAGGAGAAGGGCAGGGTAAAAATATTTTAGATATGCCTTTGGGCAACCCATCTTCCCATGTGAGAAAATCCCATGAGCTGATCTCCTGTGTAGTCATTGTTAACAAACTAAAAGAAACCGATATGAAGCAAGGCCTTTTGGGAAGGAACAATTACTTTTTCATAGGATTGCAACTGTAAAATGTGCTTCTGCGCTCAGAACAAGCAATCCTGTCTTTGATCAGCCTGGCCAGGAAACATGGTGGCTAAAATGTCAGCTAAAATGTACTGGACAAACTCTCCTGCTTCCCCAGGTGGCCTCCCGGGAGTGTCAGTGTCTGTTTTTTCCTTCTCTCTCCATCCCTAGTTCTCTGCCTTGAAGCAGGCCCTCCCTTCCAATATCCACTTGCTGACCTTGGCCCAGTGGGAGCCGGACTCCGTTCTCTTCCGCCTAGAGCACCAGTTTGAACGGGGGGAGAATACGGTTAGCTTTGATCAGCCTGGCCAGGAAACATGGTGGCTAAAATGTACCGGACAAACTCTCCTGCTTCCCCAGGTGGCCTCCCGGGAGTGTCAGTGTCTGTTTTTTCCTTCTCTCTCCATCCCTAGTTCTCTGCCTTGAAGCAGGCCCTCCCTTCCAATATCCACTTGCTGACCTTGGCCCAGTGGGAGCCGGACTCCGTTCTCTTCCGCCTAGAGCACCAGTTTGAACGGGGGGAGAGTGCCAATGGCTCCATGCCCATCACCATTAATTTGCTGGTAGGTCTTTCCCTTTGGAAATAATTGCAAACAACGAGCATTAACTCTTGCTTCACCAGCAGTGCTAAACTATCATCAAAAGAGACCAAAAATGGATTTGGTTAAATATTGTGATAACCTGGGCCAGGGATAGGGAACTGGTCACCCTCCAGCCATTTGACTACTGTTGCTGCTTCCATCGTCCCTTGGCATTGACAAGGCCAGCAAGGACTCTGATGTCGGTAAGGCTGCGGTTTCCTTGTGCTGTACTCCGTGGTCTTAATTAGGTTCTCAGTAACCCAAGCAACCTTACAAGGTAGGACAGCATTAGTATTCCTATCTAGCAGATGAGGGAATGAACTGGACTGTGGATTAGTGAAGCCTTTCTGATGAATTAGGGCTGAGCAAATGATTAAACACAAGATTTAATGTCTTATTTTCCTCACTACTGCAGTTACTCTGTGAGATCTTGCTGTACTAACTGAAGGGCAGTATTTACAATACGGGGAGTGTTTACTGGATTTTCATAGAGAGAATTGAAGAATCTCTTAAGAATGGCTGTTTTAGAAGCTTTCGTCTTGCTTAGTCAGCTAATAATGCTCCGTGGGCCTTCTGGAATTTTTACTGTGGTTTTCCTCTCTGTCCTAGAATCTGTTCTCTTCTTTCACTATCACCACTTTGGAAGAGAGGAACCTAGCTGCCAACCAGAAGTATGAGGACATGAGGAGGCTGGTCTGGCAGTCGGCTGAAGGTGGGTCGCCACGTGGAAGCTGAGCCTACCTGGCTTGCAGGTGGCTAGAGGACAGGGCGGGGTGAACAACATACTCACTTAGCTGGTTCAAACAATAATAGCTCACCAGTTTGAAATACATATGATATGGCTTCATCACTACAGCTGTTTGATTCTTCAGCCCATTTATTTTATTTTATTTATTTATTTAATATCCCACCCATCTGGTCTGGTCGACCACTCTGGGCGGCTTCCAATATACGATAAAACATAAGGATTTTACAAACAGTCCATAACACATACAATAATAAAACAAATAATAAATGAAAGAAAAAATAAAGAATTAAATATTGACAGGAGGGAAGGCCTGAACATACAACCATGTTTTAGTTGACTCGGTGTAATGCCCAGCGTAGGCAATAAAACGCTTAATTAGTCTTAATGTGTGCTACAGACGTAAATGGCTTTTGCTTGATGGTGTCACCTTAAGGCAGAATGAAAGAATTGGAGAAGGGGCCTGTTGGCTCTTGGCTCAGGGCAGGATGAGCGCCTTCTGTGCCATGTGTCCTGCAACCGAGGAAAGATGAGTCCTTGGATGTGTCACCCGTGTAAAAGAGGAGATCGGTGGCCCAGTTGCCCAAAGTCTGAAAAGGCACTGTTGGATGTGGAGGCCATGGGCCATTCAGGGTTTTGAAGCTCATCCTTCACACCTTAAGGGGAGCCTGGCAGTGAATTTGCAGCCAGTGCAATTGAAATGCCACACTCACACTCTCTGCCACACCCTGCAGTTAGGAAAGTGAGCTGTCGCACTTTGCCCCAGCTCCAGCTTCTGAACCATCTCACATTAGCTGTCTCAGGAATACCCAGCACCCTTCCAAACAGAGGCTGGAGCAGTGTTGGCCTTTGGCAAATGGCAGTGAGGATCTGATTAGGAAAGGCTGCCCTACTTAAAGGGCAAAAGATAGGATTTGTGGGTTCATCCTGGAGATCCCTTTCTTCCATCCTGTCCTGAAGGATCCTCCAATTGGGAAGCAAATTCACTGTGGCAGGTATGCCGGTTCAGAGTGTGGCTGGAAGGCAGCACAGCAAAATAATGTTTATCAAACACCTTACTGGTGAAGAAGCTGATGGAAAACAAGTCTCACAGCTCACTGGGTATCCCACAAAGAAACCATGAAGGCTGTCTATGACTACACATGCTAGGCAGCTATGAGACCTATAATTTAACCCCAGGAGCAAAGGGTGGAAGTTAGTAGGGCAGCCTTTCCTAATCAGATCCTCACTGACGTGGGCCAAGTGTCCTACCTTGACTTTTCTCCAATGCTTTCTCTCCACAGGAGCTGCAGAACGGCCACGATCAAGCCTCCCTCCCCTTGACCCAACACAGATAACACTAAAGCCCATGGAGATCCGGACCTTCCTGGCTCATATTCAGCACCGCAGCAGAATAGGAAGAAGAAAAGATTAATGTTTTGCCTGTTTTTCTCTTCTGAACAGTGCCAGAGGTTGCCTCAAAAGAGGGCAGGAGACTGGCGCTCTCCACTGTGCCTTTTCCAAAGGGAAGAGCGGCTTTTTCTCTCAACCAACTGTTCTCCTTTCTTCTGGAGAAATGATTCTTGGTTGCTGCTTAAAGCTGGAATTTAATTAAGGGCCACAGGACAGTCTTTTGACAATTGAAAAAGAGATCATTGTTTAAAGGCCCTTCTGTTCCTGCACCATTCCTCTTTCAAGCCCACTCAAAAACAAAGACTGTTTTTAGAGGCAGGTATGGACGTCTTGGAGGATGTGGGCTGTCCTAAGTGCAATCATTACATGTGAAATAAACCACTTTTTAAAATGATTTAATCGCTTTGCTCTGAATTCCAGCCCAGTATCTCCTGAGGAGCAAGAAATAGAACATATTGTTCCACTACTAACATATGACACAGTCTGCCAGTCAAACAGGAAAAATCAATCAAGGCAGACCTGCTCAGGGATCCACTAGAGTTGTATCGCATTCTCTGCAGTTCTGATATACCCCTAAGGACCAAAATGGAAGAAAGAGCAGAGCCTGGGCAATAGATTTAGCCTTTCCTTGTTAAACTAGAGCACTTTACTTTTATTATTGTTTTGCGTGCTTCTATTGTTTTGTTACGAGTTGCTCCACAGACATGTCAATCCAGAGTCCCTCGAAAACAGCCCTACCTACCTAAAAATCAGCAGTAGTGACATGCCCTGCTTTTCAGCTGCCATAACTAAGTTATCTAGGAAGTGTTTACAGTGGCGATGAGGGTTTTCTGCTAGTGGGGTGTTCCGCGTATGCATCCTGGTCTGAATTCTCTCAACCAATCTCAAATCAGAAAAGAGAAAAATTGTGTTATAGTGAGACTACATTTGCCTTTCTTAAATTTAAAGTTCATTTCACAGCTTCTGCAGAAGAAGAACACATAATTCAGTCCTTAGGAGACTTTAATTTCTTCCTGGTTGTCTCTTGCTTGTACAATTATTTCGGTGGTGGCCATCTCCCTCACAACACTTTGACTTTTCAACTAATAGGGTTATGAATCTCCTCCCCCATAAAAATACAAAGCTGTGGTCCAGTTTTCGAAACGGTATTCCATTTGCAGAAGTGCTAAACTTTCACACTTCAAGGGGAAGCCAGCATCAGGAACTGGAAGGAGAAGCAAAGTGAGCCGTCTTTCTGGAACCAAATAGGGGTAACAGTGAGGAGCAAAATGGATATTCATTCTCACATGGGGTTGTTCATGGGGCTGCCAAATCTGGGATTCCTGCCCATTTTGTATGGAATGAGAACTCATTCACTTCTGTCCAGTAAGGGAGCTCAGAGGAAGGGACATTCTAGTTTCCGCTGCAGAGTTTGGAGAGCATTAGTTTCATAGGCTGGATGGCACAAGCAGTGCAGCTCATTTTATTATGGGCAAAGTGGGTAACAAATCAAACACCATCAAAAGAGAAGACTAGCAGTGGGGCTCATTTTATTATGGGTGAAGTGGGTAACTTAACTACAAATCAAACACCATCAAAAGAGAAGACTCTTTAATGTTGGGCAGATTGGAAATGAGCAATCCTTTAAAATAACACTTTTCTATGAATGAAAAAATAAAAGCAAAATCCAAGCAGATGTTCAAGGTCATTACATCAGGATCCCGGGGTGTCACTTGGCTCTGTTTCTTGTTCTGTCTCGTGGGAGTAGCAGCATTTGTCTCCCAGCGAACAGTTGCCCTGGGAGAGAAAACAACATTCAGTACCGCACCCTGTCTCACGAGCTTTTTGCACACCCTCTGAACTCTATTGCTCAAACACACACCCAAAAGAAACCCCTCCAATCCTATAAGGACCACTCTGGACCTGATCCTTACAATGAAGACCCTAGAAATATGGAACCCAAGAAGGGTAAGAGGGCCATGACCCTCCTCCATTAACCCTCCCTCTTGCAGGCAGGGTTACCTTCAGTTGATAATCACAATGTTTCCTTGATGGGCCTTTCAGACATTTAGCCATCCTCCCGGTCTCCAGATGCATGACAAAATACAGTCCTCACCTGACGAAACCTTTTGCAGGGGAAGTTCTTCAGGTGAGCCCCATCGCTCTCTCCTGTACACACTTTCCTCTTGTTCTGGTGTAGCTTTCTTTTTTCCTGCAGGGAGGAGGAAATCCCGCCCCTAACCCAGCAGAGTCGTTAGGCCACCACCCAGGAGATTGCTGCCACTGATGATGATGATTCTGTTTTAGTGCCATCACTGCAACAGTTCCATACAAAACAGTTCACAAGGCGGAGTTACAGCCAACACCTGGCCAGGATGGTAAGGTAGAGAGGGAAACGAAAGGGACCCATTTACTCTAAAACTGGAATGGGTCTGTTTTCCTCTCCCATCGTGGCTAGACATGGCAGAGACACGTGACAGCAGCAAGTTATGGGGGGGGGGGGGGGGGGCTTGGCTAGACATGGCAGAGAGACGTGTTATGGGGGGGGGAAGGTGGCAGCAATACAAGTCCCCATGTGACAGATCTACTTTCTTGCAAGAAAGAGCAGGGAAGAGTCAGCACTAGAAGGAAGCAAACCATACGTTCTCTATGTAAAGCTTTCTTCCAAAGCACATGTACTCTAAATCATTTTCCAAAGCACAATTCTGGAATCATCTTCAGGAGGTAGGGAATAGCAGCCCCCTCCACCCTTTAATTCCCTTCCCCAAAAAAGGCAACACTAGGTGGGCACTTTTCCGCGCGCCCACCATTCCTGATTCCCTGAGAACCTTACCCAATCTTGGCTCTCACTTTTGGTCCCCAGAAGGGCTCTGGATTCAGCTGGAACCGTTTCAGACCTTGTTTTCTTGAGTTAGGATTAGCATCTGCCCGGACCGTGAAGGACGCCTGTAGCCTGTGAAACACAAGAGAGTCAGGAAGAGAAGTGGGCAGAACAAGATGTTCAAGATTGAAGCTCATAAGCACGCATAATCCTTTCTCATGACCTTTCTTCCCATTTTGCAAAGCCAATGTTACTTTAAAACAACAACAACACAGCAACTAATAGAGGAGTTCTTTCTTGACTGCCACCATTTCTCACCCATGAGAAACTGAGCTGAAAGTGCCCACGTTGCCCATCCCAACGTTCCCTCTTGCCTTCTCTCCCCAGCACCTACTTGGGCTCCACCGAGAGGATGCAGGCAGCTGGGCTGTTCTCCGAGAGGCGCTCTCTTTTCACGGGATTCAGTTTCTCCTGAAGACAGAAAGGTGGTCAGTGAGAGGGAAAGAAAAAGGATTTCATCTTAGTCTCTCCTCCAAGCAGGAAAACTGGGCCAGGAACAGAAGGAAGAATCAGGCTGCAGAGAGGGATGGCTGGCAATTGGTCTCTTGCAAATATTTTCTGGGCCTTTTTTCTCCAGCGTCTTCACCCCATCAGAGCCAAAGGGAGAAACATGAACAGTTCCTTTTTCGGACCTCTCTCAAATCTATTGGCCCACCTGGCTTGAGATTCTGGGAGCTGGTAATCCAAAGAAGGAATTTTTCCTATCCTACCCCAAGATGCACAGAGCGCAGGTGTAAAAAAAAGGTGTAATACAAGGAATGTCAGTTCTCCATGAAAACTAGAGCAGGGCAATAGCAAGCCATTACTGGAGTAAGACAGAAGGATAGGATGCAGACTGGCGCATTCCATCCCTCTGCCCTAAAGATGGTGGAGCCAATACTTGAGGGTAGACCAGAAGAGAGGGAGCCTGAAGCCTGGAACATTATGGGAAAGCATCTATAGTTAAAAATCCAGAAAACAGAAGTTCCTTTATCCAAAGGCAAGACCTGGCTCCACTCACCCAGCAGCGCATGATGTCCCAAACTACAGCTGCCGGTGCATCTGTTTTGATGGCACTTCTGAAGGCATGGGAGAGCGACACCCTGTAACCAGCATGGAGGAGAGCTGATCTGGAAGAGAAAGGCAGAAAACAAGGCTTGCACAGCGATTTCTAGCTTCCAAAGGGCAAGACGCGAACTGAGGTGATGGCTGAAGTTCTTCTCATTTTGAAGCCCATTTTGCAAAGAGGAGAGACTGCAGTCTATATCACTTGGCACATCATCATTAGGATTTGGATTCTCATTTGGTATCATCCAGATAATTTCAGGGCATTGCCCTAAACAAGTGCTGCTTATTGCTACCAGAACCTGCCAACTAATTCTTCCCAACTATCCCACCAGACACCCATATCCTATTAAACAAACAACCCACACTCAAGAGCCCGGATCCCACTGCAAAAGCAGGTATGTTTTATGAGCTAGATAAAAGCAAAACAAACTCGCCTTCTCAGTGAAGGAGAAACATTGAGAAACTGTACAGGGTCTGGGGCCTCTAGCACTCTGGATTATGGAACAAACATGTAAGGCATTCTTACCGGAGAAGACGGGGCCCCTTTTCTTCCTGTGCAGCAGGAAGAAAAGGGATGAGGCCTCTGCCTGGATCTCTAAACGGTTCTGAAGGCTAGTCCAAACACCACAATGGAGCTGCTGCAAAACCTCTTCATTCCTCCTTTGTGGGATCCTTTCTGTTTAGGGCAAAGACAAGCTCTCCGAATCCAGCCCCCAATCTTACCTGAACTGCAGCAAGGAAGGACTGTTGCAATGGATGGTTTTGCAGAGATGATCAAGGGTGTAATAGAGAGGGACATCACTGAGTTCCTACCAGAGAGGGAAACAGATGCTCATCAAACAGGATATTGGGCCTCATGCTGCAAAGGACAAAGCATCACTAGCTTCTCCTAGAGGAAATCTTAGCAAACACTACTTTTGAACTTTTCAGCCTCTGAGAAACCCTTTAAATGCTGACCCTCCTAAGAAAGAACCTCTGCAGATTTGCTATGTCTCCCTTTTGCTCTCCACAAACTTAGATGAAACCAGACGCTCCTATTGCCCTAGGAATGTTCTCTCTCAAGGAAATGTAGATGTTCCTGACCGTTCCTTTTCAGGTGCTTCTAGAGATTACTGCTGAAACGAGGATGGGGAGTTTCAATAGTACTCTTTAGTACCATCCCTTCTGTTGTTGCTTTACTCGTGCAAAAGGAACATGGCTCAAGAGGCATTTTCTCCCACCTTTTCCATGTGGGCAATGGGAGACGGTAGAAGATGGCAGAAGGCACCTTTCAAGCAAGGCCTCCTCTGCATAACCCTGAAGAGGGTTATCAGCATCCAAGAAATCTCAAGACATAGCCTTAAAAATACTGCCCTTCAGAGAAAGCGGTGGAGCATGGACATACCCCTCTTCCTTCCAAACACATGTTATTTCCAGTCCAAACACCTAGCTCCACATACAGATGCATTTCTTCTTGACAGCAACTGTGATACTTGCTCCACTCACAGACACCCCCACCCCCTCTGCAGAGTAGTCTAAGAGAATGAAACTTTATCTCTTGGCAAAAAAACTATTCCTGGTGGAGGGGATCATTAAGGAGCCTCAATCATGGCTGGCAACAGACACTGCATTGCATTCTGCCTAATTACAGCTGTCATCCTTACCTCCATCACCATGCTCAGGATGCCCTGAATCCGCTGACTTGTTTGGAAGCGCCCTGGGTTGTTTCCAACTGCTGAGAGGACTCTCTGGACAAAGCCCACGTCATGGAGAGGCTCTGCCCATAAAGGGCCACCCAGCTGCAAAGACAAGGAGGAAAAGCAGTAGCGGCACAGGAGTAGCAGTTTTTGGGATCTCCTGACTGAAGGCAGGCGCATTTTGCTAAGGAGCTCACCTGGTGGTGCTGGTGGCACTGTTCACAAGATGGTCCCACAGGAGGTCCACAGGCTGCCTTGTAGTTGATTCTATTTAATTACGGGGGCAAAAAGAAGAAAATTCAAGAGAACCCTCAGGCTAGGCTGGGCTCAACTTTGTTGTTTTTTTCCTCTTTTTCAAAAAAAATAATCTGCTTTTAAATGACCATACTGGGGAGAAGAAATGGCATTTCTTTATACTGACAGATACCACCAAGGTTCCCTCTAAGGTGTGCACCTGTGAGACTCTGCCCTCCTTCACGCAGGGTTCCTCCTCCCCTGCACACCCACAGTGATAGTTTTTGGACCCTTTGGTTCCAGTCATGATGGAACCCTGCAGAAGAGGGCGGAGTCATGTCTGAGAGGAGCAGAACCCCACCTACAGGGCCTGAAAATTAGAAGGAATGTTGGAGACCACCCACAACAGTCAGTGAGGCTGGACTATAATTACAACTCACAACAAGCCCATCTTTTCTTTTTTCTTCAAAGCATTTTCTCTTGCAATATTTCTGTTTACAGCTCTCATGAAGCTCAGTATCTAGCCATCTTGATTATGGGATTCTGGGAGTCCCAAAAGACTCAGACATACAGCCATAAGAAAAGTCTTCCACATTTCCAAATAACGGGGCAAGCAACTGAAGAACTAGGGAAGGCGCCTGTTAGCCCATCTGAGAGGGTTCCTGCCTTCAGGAGCCCAGGAATATCTGGCAAGGCTATTCTTCCTGGAATCTACCCCCACAGCAGAACACATGGAACTGTTGCCAGATGGTGCCATTAAAAATCCTCCATTTTCTTACTTGTTTCCATTGTCCACCACTTTGCCAAGCCTCTGGAGATGAAAAGAGCCACAGCCCACACAGTTATAGACCAAGGCCTGTTTACTGCAGAGAGGAAGAGATTCATGCTTGTTTTGTTTTTATAACATTACATATTTTTCCCTCACCAACTCTGCCCCCTGTAGAACAAACACAGAGGAAACCCTAAAGGAGCAGAAAAACACAGTCTGATCAGGCTCACCTGGCAGATGATTTGACCTTGGACTGTCCAGTGAAGACCCGGACAAAAACACGGATGTAAAAATCAACACTGACACACAAGAGTGGAACAATGTAGCGCTGGTAGCAGTTGGCACGCAGATCAAGACTGTGCAGGATAATTCGTAGAGCCTGATGGAAGAAAGGAGCTGCAACCGAGAGCTACTTTTACCTTTGGACAAGGATGTTATATTATGTGGCTACATCTTAGGCCACACACTGGATCTCTGAGTCTAGAGATAGTCTTCACACAGCATAACATTTCCTCCTGTTCCTACACTTCACCACTTTGAACGGCACTATTTGTTCATCTGACATAATTACGATGTGCGTGTGGACAGGAGCTTATATATTTAGAAAACTTTGGGAGGGTTGCTGTGAGTGGAATCAATTTGACAGTACATAATTACTAATTACTCAGTAAAGCAAGGAACAGCCAAGGTGTGAGGGGAAAAAAGGAGGAGGTGGTGGAATCACAGCCTTATTTATGACAAGGATTTGCCCCAGGAACTTCCAGTTGTTGCCACCTGTCCTTGGGAATTATGTCTTTTCTTTGGAACAAGTAGGGTCAGAGATGGGCCAAAAAGAGGAGGACAGAGCCTCACCCACAGGGATTCATTCGTTCTACTCACCATTTCATGGCAGAACTTGGCCTTGATAGACATGGCCCCATATTTGCTATAGCAGGTCTCCCCAGAGTTCCCAGCCATCACAGCCATGTCCGTACATGTGACACACAGCAGACCTGCAACAGGATCCCCCCCCCCAAGAGGGAAGATCATTCACAGAACATACAGCACGGCCTTTGTCTCTCCACAAATGACTCTAAGGAGGTTGCAAGAAAACTAGCCATAGAGACAATGTTAAGACAGAAAGTATAAAGAGAGAGAGAGAGAGAGAGAGAGAGAAACTCTACAGCCCAAGAAGTTCAATTGCTGGCTTTGGTTTCCCTTTTTCTGCAAAAGAAACGACAACAACTTCCTGCCACATGAGGTGGAGAACAAATACCCAAAATTTAGCCACCAAAAAGAGAACTTCAGAAAGATGACCATATTCACCTTCTAGGAATATTCCTCTTCTCAAGAGAGCTTTGGGGAACTTAATTTGCCGAGACAAATCTGTGACAAAGCTAGGGACAGGTTTCTCACCCGGCCACGGCTTCCTGCCTAACATCTCCAACGTGGCTGCATACCCGGCAAACTCTAGAAGGATCACCGTTGCCCTCTCCTTCCTCTTTGTGGGTCAAGACAGGGCTATGGATATGCCCCATTTCCTAAGACCCAGAACTAAATGTTGAAGTCTATATTGTTTCTTCAAGTCACACACATAAACACACAAAGGGAGGAGCAAAGTAGAAGGATCTCCCAGACAAAGGGGGATTGGGAGCCCTGTCATAAAAAAACATGACTGTGGAAACTTGGTAATGAAGGGCTCCTGTGTTTCATCAACAGCATAATAAAGGGGCTGAAAAAAGGGAGCTTTGTCATTTACGTAGAAAAGCTTCACATGGCTAATCATGCTAGGTACCGCCTTACCTCCCTCATCCACAGCCTGTACTGCAGCATCAAGAAACATCGACGGGCTGCCGTACGGGTCCAGATCAATGACATCAAAGAGTTCTTTGGCTGCCTTCCGTTTGTGCATCAGCATCCTGTATATGGGAAGGAAACACATCTGTGCTCAGCAGCATTGTGCTTCAGAGGCAGAAAAAGGAAAGAGTCCTCTCAGTGATATGATACACCTGCGTCTGGGACACAATGATTTAGGCCTGAAGACACATCTGTGCTTCAGGGGCAGAAAAAGCAAAGGGTCCTCTCAGTGATATGATACACCCGCGTCTGGGACACAATGATTTAGGCCTGAAAGTGGAGGCCCATACTACAGAACAACTCTCCATACGTAAACTTTCCAGCCATTTGCCACAACTAAAAATGGTTCACTCCCTGGCCTGCCCATCTTCTACAGGGAAAGAATGTGTACAGAGGAGGAGAAGCCCCGAGTGCTACAGTCTACACACACTGACTCAGTGATGTTTAGAGATGTTAAAGGACCAACATCCCAGCTGCAAGCAACTACGTCAAGGATCTTTTGTGCAGTGACTGACTATGGATGCGCAGCCGAGCTTCACAAACTGTAGCTCATGTGGGATGCAGTATGGATGCAGTAGTGAGGTCAGTATCTGAATGGGCTCAAATCTGGTCAACATCCTGATCTGAGAAGCTGCCCCATACTTCATCTCTCTTGTTGTCAGAGGCAGACTGCAGAGGGAACAGATACAATGAAGGTTATGTCTAATTCTCCCCCCTCATCTTTATTTACTTATTTGTTTGTTTGTTTATCTATCTATAGGCCTTTTGCTAGCTTACTGAGAAAAGCAATGGCAGCCCTGCATGCTTCCTCCAGGCTGCAAAAGTCCAATTATGTCTGGAAACTAAATGTATCGAAATCCAAACAGACTGAAGAGAAAAACTGAATGCATGAATTCCTCCTCCTTTATTCTATACCACAGAAAAGGCCTCTTGAAGATGTCACTGAAAGACCTCCTGAGTAGCACCACTATTGGTAGTGTAAAGCTATTATGCACAGAAAATGCAGCACCTTGTCACCAAGGAGCTTTTTCAGAGGGCACAAAAAGGCCAAGACTCCAAGCTTCATTCCAAGGATTTTCTGGAGGTAAGCGGCTTTGCCATTTCCTAGCAAACAGGAACACAAGCCAGCAAGCTACTGTGAAGCAACAGGTGATCTGCCCTCACCTTCTTTACTAAAGCCACTCCACACCAACAGTTCTGTTGCTTTCTAGGTTGAATGCCCAGACACAAGACATTTAATGGATAACTTTGTCAAAAGGAGAAGGAAACCAGTACCCAGACCTTAAATGGACAATCCCTAACTTACCGGGCATCTGAGAAACTTGAAGTCACCAGGTGTCTTACATCATTGAGCTGAATGTTTCGGTTCATGAGTTCAACAGCCTTGAATGAGAAGTCATTAGCTACCACACTGTGAAGGCCTGGCACCTCCTTGGCAAAGCGGATAGAGCGAAGTCCGGAAGCAGCCAAGGCCTCCAGCACTTTGAGCCCATCCTGCAAGGGACAGGAAGAAAGATTTAGCAGGAGGGACAGAGGAAAACCCTCGAACAAAAGAGCTGAAAAACAAAGAGAACAGCTGGCTTCAAATTCTGTGGGGAGCATGGCCCAGCCCTCAGAAGGCTATAGGCCAACAGGGTGGCAGTTCCAGGAATGTCAAGAAACAACAGCAAGGGCCACAGGACAAGTCTTTTCCACGTGGTCTGTAGTCCAAAGGCACCATACTTTGACGCACTGCCAAGTGGAAGATTCCAGAGGAATCAAAACCAACTGCTATTCCACAAATCCCAGATTCCTTATTGAGGAAGTCTGTGAAAAATGAAGAGCGATCATTCTGAGGGGATTTTCTTCTCTTTTCACACAAGTCTTTTTACTGAAAGTTTCTTTGAAACAAGAGTACAAAAGTCAACAATATGAAGACTAAACAGATAATACTAAATATTTTATAATTATATCCCATAATCTGAAGTCATAAGCATATCAACAATCACCATAGAGAGGTCACAATGCTACTCCAAAACATCTTTCCAAGCTCTCCGGGGCAGGGAGGAGAGCATCAGTAAGTCGATAACGGCTCACAGAATTAATAAATGCAAAGAGACTTCCTTCAATGACCATATGGCAGCCAGTTAGGTAACAGGAGTTATTTAAGCACAGGTTATTTTGCCTCATAAACACCCCAAAACACTGCAGTGACCCCAAAACCTATGTAATATACTGATAATACATTCTCTCTCTCTCTCTCTCTCTCTGTGTGTGTATGCACCAGCCATTGATATACACCGCACTTTGATGAGTAATTAAAGACCTGTCCCAAACACAAACTTTAGGTTTAAATTTCTGAAAGCCAGCACAGCATAGCACAGTAGTTAGTGAAGCAGACTAGAACAGGTGAGACTCATCTGAAAAGCTCACTTTGGACCAGTCACTATCTCTTTTACAATGTATGTGGTGACAGGATAGAGACAGAGAACATTTTATTCCTCCACCATGAGTTTCTTGGAGAAAAGGCAGATCAAAGGCTCCAATAAGCTGGTAACCTGTAGGGTGTTATTGAGAGCACTCTCAAAAGCCCCAACTGTACACAGAAGGAGGGTACCATACCTGGCATACTTCTCCCACGACTGCTATTTTATGATCCTCCTGCTCTAGCTGATCTCCAGCAGGCGGTTGTTCCAAGTCATCAGCTTTCTCGTCTTTTGAGGCATCCACGATTACTTTGGAGGTGCTTTCCTCCCCAGGGACCACAACTGGAAGGAAACAAAAGATGGATAGGAAGCCCATGCCTGGGTCCATGCCCGAATGGATATCCAGTCCTTAAATTATTCATATAGCTGCAGTAGTGTGTACTATTCAATATCAAGACGAAAAGTGCTGACAGAGAGATGCTGCGATTTAGCTACTTCCACAACATCCCTCTTACCTCTTTAGAAGACCGCTCTGTTTTAAAACTGCACCACTTTAACTGGAGAGACAATTGCTACTGCTGCCACTTCTCTTTAATTCAGCTGCTACTGAGGGAAGGCAAACATTTTAAAGGAACTCAGTAGTTGTTATTGGAGAAGATGGGGCCTGCAGCATTACACAGCACTCAAAAATCTAGAGTCCTCTTTTTGGTTAAATTTGCAAAGCTTGTTTCATTAATGCCATCAAGTCACTTCTGACTTCGGCTGACTCTATGAAGGAGAAGGTCCTGGCAGTCACAACCCGGCTCAAGTCTTGCAAAACTCAAGACCACTGCGCTATAACTTGTGTAGGCCGATGACAGACACTCAGCTACCCTTTTCTAGGATCTTTACAGAGCAGGATTGAGGCTAAGCAGCAAAATGAATAGAAATAACTGTCACTTAAAGGAGATCTAGAAGTACTTCAGTACCATTCAAGGAACAATCCCAGAGACTCCAAAGGCCTTCCCGACTCTTTTACACCATACTGTTGCCAACTGTACACAACAAGCCTGCCTAAACAGTGCACCATACAGGCCTGATCTTTGGAAATAGAACAATATCCCTAGGCAGAATACCACTGTTTATGCAATGTAAGAGCAGGGATAGTTGCCTCAATTCGGAGCTAACAGGATCAGTATCAACACCGTTTTCTGCAAGAGGCTAGAGAAAAATCAACTACCGGGCAGAGCTGGGCAGTGCCTCCTGATTCAGTTCCTGACTAAAGCTGTTACTTCAAACAAATCAAAACCCGCCTAGAATGGACAGGAAAGAAATTACCCTGAAAAATTCCCTGTATTAGGACTATTCAACAAGGAGGTAGAAAGAGGTGTCAGATCTTCCCCACTCACCCACCCACTCAAACAGTGACTGTAACACATCAGTGATTTTATTACTGGCCTCTAGATGAAATAAAGAGGAAACCAGTGATACTCACGGGAAATCCCTTTGGATGACAGCTGTAAACGAGCAAATTCTGTAAGGACTGCACACCTGTATGTGAGAAAGAAGAGATATCACTGCTAATAAGGTTGCGCTCACCTCATCATTTATTTCCTTAGGACAGCTCTTCAGTCATCTCATCATATCATTCTAGGAGAAATACAGTGTTTCTCCGACAATAAGACAGGGTCTTAATTTTTGCTCCAAAAACGCATTAGGGCTTATTTTCAGGGAATGTTTTATTTTTTTCATGTACAACAATCTACATTCATTCAAATAGAGTCATGTCATCTTCTGGTTCCTGCACGATAGTGGAGGGCAGGGTTTCACTTAACTGGGGCTTATTTTGGGGGTAGGGCTTACATTGCAAGCATCCTGAAAAATCATGCTAGAGCTTATTTTCAGGTTAGGTCTTATTTTCGGGGAAACAGGGTAGTCTTTGTTCCCACACCAATTAATTACTCTTACAAAACTTCCCACAGCCAAAATAGATGGGACATACAATAAACCATTCCCTTGAATGCTCACTTACTAAATGTCTCTTTCCTTTCCCCTAGACCAGTGGTGTCGAACTGTGGCCCTCCAGATGTTCTTGGCCTTCAACTCCCAGAAATCCTGGCCAGCAGAGGTGGTGGTGAAGGCTTCTGGGAGTTGAAGTCCAAGAACATCTGGAGGGCCACAGTTAGACACCACCGCCCTAGACTCTTCACATTGCACTACTGGTTGGTTGGTTGGTTGGTTATCTATCTATCTACCTATCTATCTATCTATCATTTGAGTTTTATCCCGCCCCTCTAGACAACGTCTACTCGGGGCGGCTTACATAGGTTAAAACACATTAAAATAACATAAAAAATGCATTTATCTACAATTATACATTCAGTTATGAAAAGTACATTGGGATCAACCATTCCCAAGGAAGGCATTTAATACACCAGTTTTCAGGGATTACTGAGCACAAGCTTCATTAGCAGGTATCCTCTTGCCCACCAGATCCATGACCTAGAAGACCTTTGGTGGTAAATTAGGACATGTATCTCACAACAAAGTAGGCAGAATTGAGCACAAGAAAAGGAACTGAGCACCAGGAACTAAGAATTCTGTCTCCTTTCCTCTTTCCACAAATCTTTCTGCAATCCAAGGGAAATCAGCTATCTTCAATGTGGAAAGGATCTTCAAGTTGATAAAAATTAGGACCCATACCCACTGATGCAGGTCCTAGGAGCACAAACTCACCTACAAATAGTGAATAAGAGCACTTAGAACAGGAGTGCAGGCCTCTCAAGATCTCCTGCAGCTGATAGGGAAGACAATTCCCTTTGGTGACAAATACGCTTAACGCTTCACCACTGAAAAGGATGCCACACAACCTGAAATTTAAATGCTGAGGACACACAACCTGTGGGGCATATCTTGGGAAACCAAATATCTTCTCCTACGATGGACCTTCTAAGAGCTCATCCCATTTTTACCATAGGAAGAGACTTGTGGAATGGCCTCCTTTGATGCCCAAATGCAATACATTAACACACTCTCTTTCCTCATTACAAAGCTAATTCTAGAGTGGTTTTGAACTCAGCTACATCAGGATGCAACCCTAAACCCATCGCTGTCTTCAAAAAATTAAAAGGAAAAATCTTCCATGATTCCTGGGCAGATTCTAAAGGCCAACCTTCTGCAAAGTTTAATAGGAAGCAGCCTCTGCAGTGTCCTCTCTTTCATACTTACGTAAGGTCTCTGTTGAACTCCTGGACAGGGTTGTAAAACACTTCGTTGGCACTTGGAAAAATTATTTTTGCTCTTCCTTCCGTAATCACAGTCTCACCATTTTTCACTGGATCACAGCCATCACTTTGGGCTGCTTTTGACTGAGTCGCATTTAGTTCTAGATTAGAGCCACTAGTTTCCATATTTTGTCCCTGATCATACTCCATGCTTTTGATAAAAGAACAATTTCTGACTTGAGGAAAAATCAAAGGCAATAAGTTCCAGCTTGTCTGAAGCTGCAGAATTGCCGTCCTTCCGTGCAAAGACAAGGTCTGTCTCGGGTACCAAAATGACAGTAGAGTGCTTGTCATCAGTTCAGCTTGTATTTCTGAAAATATAAGAAAGGTCATGCCTCTTCCATACTGTCCAGTCATTTATCTGCTAGTGCTCCTTTTCTGTATATATGTTATGGATAACGAGCCACTAGTGGAGACATGAGTAGCGGATACTGGAATTATTTTTTTCAAGGGGAAGAAAAAAGAGTGGCAAAATCCAACACTGGTTTTATTTGTGAAGAGCAGGTGGTTCTTTCCTTTCCTGTTATAAAACACCACATAATAGTCACACACTCAACCTATGCTTTTTCTGGTGCAGGAACATGAATGATCTCAGAGGTATTCTTAACAGGTATGTAAAGAAAAACTAATAGTTGGCATTAGATTAATATTAATATTAGCCAACAGCTAACAAGAGGCAGCTTCACAGCTCTCAGTCTTGCTCTGTCCATTACAGACACACCTCCAAATATATATTCTGAAATGTATCCATCTATATCTAAAGATAGATACTTGATTTTATTTAGACAAACATGAAGCATATCTTAATGAAAGAAAACACATGAAAATTGAAGCATCTTGACTAACTTGGGCTTGATTACCTACTACAGTAGTAGTTGTAGAAGAGGTACAAAGTAAAAATCAAACATAAAGAAGACCAAAAAGTTTGTTTTTCTCTAAAAGCTCTTTCAAACCCTTGAAATTAAACTGCAGGCTTCCGTGACTCCAGCTGCAGGCTGGCTAGCTTCCTTCCTTCCTTCATTTCCACTATACAGTACATACTCTTATTCTACCATTCTGGTTGTGGGTAGCAGATCAGATTAGCACCGGGGGAGGGGGGAGCGGAGATTTTAAAAAAGGCATGCTTGATTTGCCCACCACAAACAGTCAATTAGATGGCTGAGTTGTAATGTCACTTGCCAGAACACGGAGCGCAAGAAAGAAAACGTCCCGTAAGATAAGGAGAGCAGCCCTTCCCGAGCCTAACCACAACCCATCCCCTTAACCTGTCGCTGGACCCAGAAGATGTCCCTTGGCAGAAGCATTGCAGTGGTCACCCAGCACGCACGTCCACGCTAGATGGTACAGGATACGCCATATTGAAAGTTGCTAGTGGAAAATCAGCTGATGCTCATCTAACCAATAAAAGGAAAGCAGGAGGGAGGGGGACGCTCATAGAGTACAAACAGAGCGGGGTGGGCGGAGTTTCCCAAAGGCGGCGGCAAAATCTGGAGTGCTTTAAAGTCCTTTGCCGAGCGAGGTGTCGTTCGTTGCAGCGCCGATTAAGGTGTACAGTACTGTACACGCATTCCCAGCCTGCAGCCTTTTTCCAATAAATTACTTCAGTAAAAGGTGACGGGGATTCAAATGATGGTTTAGGATTCAGGTTGCTATGTCAGCTATCACCAGGTCCTGGCATTTAACAACAATGTTGTAGACTTCCTCATTATAGGAAATAAATATAATTCCTCTCGCATTATACAATTGAAAAGCTACTTACAAGGCAAGGTGTCAAAAGTCAGCCCAGCCGAGTTAACTGAGACCTATTTCCAGGCAAATACTGAACTGCAACCTTCTTGAAGGAACCGCTACTGAATTCCTGCAGAAGGAGGAGGACAGAAGGACCTTCCTCTTTTCCTACGACTTTCCACTTTTCCTAGCGTTGCTTTCTCCGGTGAAGCTTGTCTTCTCATGACATGTCCAAAGTACAACTTCTGTTTTAGCTTCTAGTGAGAGTTAAGGTTTGATTTCATCAGAACGTGTTAGTTTTTTCTGGTGCTCCATGGAATCCATCAAGATGACCTTCAAGACTACATTTCAAATAAGTTGATATTTTCCTTTCAGCTTTTCACATCAGTATACAGTAACTGGGAATATCATAATGTGCATTATTTTACCTTTCGTCTTCTAGCAACACAGATTTACATGTGTCTATTTTCTAGTTTCTTCATAGCTGCCCTTCTGAAACGCAATCTTCTTCCGATTTCTTGTCTGTAGTTTCCATTTGCATTGATAATTGAACCAAGATATAGACAGTTTCAATTCTTCATTGTCAGTATTAAAATTACATAATTCTGTAGACATTATTTTTCTCTTTTTAATGTTCAGCTATAATCTGGCTTTTGTATTTTCTTCTTTAGTCTTCCTTAGTAATTTCAACTCACGGCTGTCTTCCGCAATAATATGGGGTAATCTGCATATCTTTAGCTTCTTTCACCATTTTTACTTCTCTTTCATCTGAATTAATTCAGCTTTCCATATGAGATGGTTGGCATATAAACTGGAAACGGGAGATAAATGCACCCTGGTCTTTTGCCAGTAGGAACCATTCTGTTTTGTCATATTCTGTCCTGACAGAAGCCTCTTGTCCAGAGTACAGGTGGCACATCAGCACAATAAAATGTTGTGCCACAGGTATTTGTTTTAGAACAATATATAGCTTTTCAAGTACAAATTGGTTTTCTTCTTCTGAAGTTCTTCAATATGCTGTAGTAGCCAAATAAATTTTAATAAAGTTACTAGTGCTTCTTCCTTTTCTGAAATTAGCTTGAACATCTAGCATTTTTTTTCAGTATCTGCAGGGGAGGTGCTTGGAACCAATCCCCCGTGGATAGGGATGTGTGTGTTCCTATCCGTGGACTCTCAATTGTGGAGTCCCACAGGGTTCAATCATCTCCCCAATGCTATTTAATATCTATATAAGGCCACTGAGGGAGCTCATTAGGAGTTTTGGAGCTCTGTGTCACCAATACATGGATGACACTTAGATCTATCTCTCCTTCCACCCTTCTGCAGAGGATACTGTCCCATCCCTTGAGTGCTGCCTGGATGCGGTGCTGGGATGGATGAGGGAAAACAGACTGAGACAAGTCGGAAATCCTGTGGATGGGGGCCCCTAGTTTCTTTGGTCTGGGTGCCTCCCTGTCTTTCGGGTGTGTCACTCTTTCCACAAAGGATGAAGTGAATAGCTTGGTTGTACTTCTGGACCCAGCACTATCAATGGCATCACAGGTAGCGTCTGTGGTCCATTCCACTTATTTCCACCCAAAGCGGGTCACCCAGCTGCGCCCCTATCTTGACACCAGGTCCCTCACCATGCTTGTTCATGTGTTGGTAGTCTTCACATTAGATTACTGCAATGCCGTCTACATGGGGCCGCCCCGGGACGGCTACGGAGATTGCAATGGGTCCAGAAGGCAGCAGCCAGATTATTGAGTGGTACAAGGAAATACCAACATGTCTCCCCCACCCTGGCCACCTTACACTGGCTTCCAGTTAGCTTCCATACCAGTTTCAAGATGATGATACTAATCTATAAGGCCTTAAATGGTTTGGGACCTCGATATCTAACTCCTTCCAGTTAGGCCTGCCCATCCTATAAGATCGTCCCAGGCAGGGCGACTGAGAGTTCTGACCCCGAGAGAGGCCCGGAAAACAACTGCTAGAAATCAGGCCTTCTCGGCAGTAGCCCCACAGATATGGAACACTCTTCCGCCCGAAGTCCGCCTGGCCCCTTCACTGGGTACATCTAGGAAGCTGTTTAAAAAATGGCCATTTAAGGCTTCCCCTGAACAAACAACTGTACGATGCAACAGCGTTTGCTAAAATATCATCCATCACACTGCCATGCTTCTTGTCTTTTATATTTTATGCTTTTAATTGTAATTTATTGTATTATATTTCTTTTTATTGCACTTTATGATATTTAATTTATGCCCCAATAGTATTATTATTTTGTATTCGTATTATTTTATTATTCTGTTGTTTGTTTATCTGTTGTAAACTGCCCAGAGTGTCCTTGGCTGCCAGATGGGCGGTATATAAATCAAATTAACAATAACAACAACAACAATATCAATCATCATCATCATCATCTTGTAGTAACAGAATAACGACCAAGCTAGAAGGAGTAATAAATGACTGAGTTGGGGTGGTGGGCAATCACAAAATTTGTTTTGTTATTTTGAAATTGCAATAAAACATGCATTTCATAGAAAGTTAAACTGGTCAGGCTAGGAAGCAAACATAGTCCTTTGAAGCAGCAATTTTCTGTTCCAACAAAACACCTATTCCACCTAAAGGAAGGAAAATAAAATTTCCCATCCTCAGCTTTAAATAAATTTGTCTTAAACCGTGTTCCCCAAATTGCTCCCACAGAAAGAGCACCCTTGAGTTTTCCCCATGCGAAACACAACCCAGACATGTGTGTACACATACTTACTAGCCTACACCCTGCCCATACTGCTAGCCCTGAAACACACCCATCACTGAAATCCACGCCCTGCTTTTCTAACACTCCTAATGCAGAGGGTTGGGGGGCAGCAGGTTACAGGAACACAGCTTGGGAGTATTCCTGGATTCATCTCTCAGACTGGATGCCCTGGTATCAAAGGTGGCCAGGAGTGCCTTTGCACAGTTAACTGGGAGTATTCCTGGATTCATCTCTCAGCCTGGATGCTCTGGTTTCAAAGGTGGCCAAGAGTGCCTTTGCACAGTTAAAACTAGTGCACCAGCTGCACCCATTTCTTAAGAGTTCTGATCTGGCCACAATGACACATGCCCTAGTTACCTGTCAGTTGGATTACTACAACACACTCTATGTGGGGCTGCCTTTGGAAAGTGTTTGGAAACTCCAAAGGGTCAAAAATATTGCAGCCAGATTGTTAACTGGGGCTGGTTACAGGAAACATGTAACACCCCTATTACAACACCTCCACTGGCCGCTGGTCCATTTCTGGGCACATCTCAAAGTGCTGGTTTTAATCTACAAAGCCCTAAATGGCTTGGGTCCAAGCTATCTAAAAGACTGCACCTTCCTATAAGCTTGGTCAGGCATCAAGATCACGAGGGGAAGCCTTTCCCTTGGTCCCATCACCCTCACGGTAGGGTGGGGACATGGGAGAGGGCCTTCTCTGTTACTGCTTCCAAACTTAAGAACTCCCTCCCATAGGAAGCCAGGCTGGCCCCATCTTTGCTCTCCTTCTGCAGGCAGGCAAAGATCTTTCTCTTCAGGCAGGCTTTTCCTTAATGACTGGTGGTCTGAGAAAGATTTTAAATAGATTGTTGTGCTCTGTTGTTTAAATGTGTTTTAATATTAATCTTAGTAATTTTAATATAATACTTGTTTATTTCTTTTAATATTTGTATACTGTTTTTCAGATTTTAAATACAATTTTAATGATGTAAGCCACCTTGGGTCCTTTTGGGAATAAAATTGGGATAGGAATATTGACAGAGTTGCGGTATTTCCAGGATTACATCAGGTGGCGCTAACCAATAGAGCTTCCCTGAGATATGAAGACGTCAAGCACCAAATCAGTGTTGATAGCAGAATAGTTGTATTATATACAGGATCTATACAGCTTAGTTTAAATGTGTTTTAATATTAATCTTAGTAATTTTAATATAATACTTGTTTATTTCTTTTAATATTTGTATACTGTTTTTCAGATTTTAAATACAATTTTAATGATGTAAGCCACCTTGGGTCCTTTTGGGAATAAAAGTGGGATAGGAATATCTAAATAAATAAATATCAGGCAGAGAGAAATAGAGATTAGGATCCAGCATATCTTCTTCCATAACTGGGAGCTGAAACTTTCAATGGGGGAGGGGGAAACAAGCACTTTATAACAAAGTGTTGACTAAAGTACCTTCTTCCACAGGGACCCAAAAGAGTAATTTGAGATGTTCAGTGTTATCTTCAGAATAGACAGGTTTTTGGTAATGCTGAAGGCTTTTTTCTTTTGAGACAGTACAAAATAGTTTTCTACTAAAATGTTGAAATGCAAATAACACTGTTGCTTTTATTTTGCACTCTCTTGAGACTTGATGGCACTCCACAACCACACGAACATCAACACCAACCTATACTACCACTGCACCACCACTACACCACAGATTGTGTGTGCTTGGTCTGCTATCTTTATCCCATGGTTGACCAATCCAGGGATTGCTCTCACAGCTGTCTCAGTTTACTCAGCTGGATACATTCAAGCTTTGCTTCTCTTTACTGCAATGATCCTGACAAATACTTATTGCCATGCTCAAAACTGCATTTAACAATTCCATCAGGTTTAGCCCAAACCTGTCAAATATCTAAATAAATATCAGGCAGACAGAAATA